AATACTGATTTCAGGGAATATATTATTTATTAGCTAGCATACTCCATGTGTTTTTAAGCTGTTGAGAAAGATAGTCTCGCACTCATATTAGTCAGTATAAAGACTAGCACAGAAAGAAAAACTAGTGCGATTGCATGTCGGAGCTAGAATTGTAAAATTGGGAGGGCCGAAGTTAAAAATACAAGTATATAACACACATAAGTATTCAATAATTACATATTTAGAACTAAATATTTCTAATTGAGTCATGTCTAATTTGTTTTAGAGAAAATTTTAACTTAATTAATAAATTGTTTATTACAAATTCTACATATATATATAATATAATAGAGAATGGATAAAAATATGGGGGGGTCAGGGCCACTCCAGGTCTAGGAGTGGCTCCGCCACTTCCTTCCTTGTATGTTAGATTATGCACATTGCTTCCCTCTTTTTGGACAAAAACTAGTGCTTGAAGGAGTTTTGGTCCTCCTTTGCTTGAGTTATGTGGACATGCCACTACCAAGCTATCAAATGATTTGGATGGAAAGATTTTAAGCAATGTGATCGCGCTTCTAACTTCTAATCAACTGATTGTTCAGCCAAACAAGAAATCCCATCTTGGCATACGTTCTTTCTCCTACTTGAGGTCAATAATGGTTAGGCTTTGTATTTTGATTTTTAAGGTTTTTAAGAGTTTATGATAAATATAAATGTGATTAAATGAAATAACGAGAAATAAAGTGTTATAAAAGGATTAAAGATATAATGAATTTAAAAGTGAAGCACAAAATAAGAACGACGAAGAAGAATAAATCAAGGCCTAAAATATCGATGGTTTCAGAATTATTGGTAGTCCAAAAACACCGAAATTTCTATGAAAATATCGGGATATTATCGATATCGATAAAAATTGAATAAAAACCATGGAAATTGTAAGAAAAACTTGGAAATTTTTCTTGAAACTTTGGAGGATTTTTATTTAGTCAATTATCTATTACTTTATCACAAAAATTTGAAGGAAATGCATTGCATGATGGGTTTAACTGATTTAAATTGATTATATAGCAAGTTGACAAACACTGCGAGTGTAGAAAATATGTAGTAATTAATGAAAGAAGATTAAACACACCATAATAATTTATTTATAATGATTTACTACAATATTTTACAATTTATACGTTGCATGGTAAGATACATGAGTGACTTAGTACCACATGGAGTTCCTATAAGGTTCAAACACTACTACAAAAATCGCAATAGACAAGGGGAATCCACCATCGTGTAGACACTTTTTACATCATCGTGAAATCGACCGCCATCTTTTGATGCATAAAACCACGACGGTAAATTACCACCGTTATTACAACGTACTACATCATCTCCAACTAAAAATCGACGTCTAATTAATATAAAAACAACAAAAAAGGCCAACTTCGATAAGCATAGACGATGCTTTTGAGAAACTTCACGTTGTCTGAAGGAGATAACCTAGCACAATTTATCCACCTATCGCTGTAACATAGAGTAACCACGACAAAAACTATTAGCATACAGTCCTGCATAATCACTATCACAACGGTACTTTAAAATCAACTACCATGGTATTAAACGATGTGCAAATATAGTAGTAACGGCTTTAAATATGGAAAGAACGATGTTATTATGATCTACTACGACCCTAGTATTTATATGGCCGTCTTTATTACTTAACTTACCAGGACATGAATAATATAAATATAGACGTGGTTCCTCCTTCTATACGACTCTAATAACACCGATATGATCGTGTGAATGTCTGTTAGACGACGACAAGGATCAGCTTATCGACATTCAAAAGAACTTTAACGACAGATATTTAAATTGAAACGGCTTTTGTGGTTCTGATAGATGATGGTAAATGTATATGGAAGGTCATAATGAATTCGTTAAATACATCGTTTTGTACCCTTTATCATCGTGTTATTATATTTGAAATGCCGCTTCTATGAGCAACTCCGTCGTGAATACGACGCACTGATAACAATGACATTGTCGTGCGTATGTTTGTTAGACAACAACAGGAATCAGCTTACAGACGTTCAGAAGAACTTTCACAACAGATATTTAAACTAAAATGCCTTTTGTGGTTTTGAGACGATGGTAAACATATATGGAAGATCGTACTGAACACTACTACAAAAAGTGAAAAAGACGACCAGAAAAAAACGACGGTTTAACGGAAAATCGTCGTTGTGTTTGAAAAGACAACGGTTTTATGACACCGCCGTGTAAGAATAACTTAAACACCTTAAGAATGGGGAATCCAATGGTTGTTTTTAAAACACGACACACCTATTTTAAAAAGCAACGTCTTATTGAAAAAAAATTTCTTCAGAGTAAACTCGGAGCCCAAAAGCAACGGCAGAAGGTATGAATCAACCGACGTAGAAAGTAAAGACGACGGTTTAAAGAAACAGCTGCCGTCTTTTCTCCGCAATAACCACAACCAAGTTTTCGTATCCTAAGTCCCATAATTTCAAAAGAATCCACGGCGGTATATTACAAAATACCACCGTCTTAAATACATGTACAACGACGTAAAATATAATTTTATCGACTTATTTCATGTTCCATACTACAACGGTATCTTTAACTCTAACCACGTTGGTTTGTTCAATTAACGCCGTGTAATAAAATTTACTATGTCGTGAAGTTAAAATTACAGTCGTATTTATTCACTTTATACGTCTACCCTTATACCTAAACGGTTGTCTTAATTACATTATTTTGTACTATTTATTTCTTGGATTTTGGTATCCTACGATGGTAGACAAACTTAATGACAAGAATTGAGAATAACCACGACAGTTTATATAGAAAACTGCTGACATAATAGATTTTTCTAAGATCGAAGATATAAGTCGTGAAGTTAAAATTACCGTCGTATTTATTCACTTTATACGTCCAACCTTATATCTAAACCGTCGTGTTAATTGTAATTAAAAAATTTTTTTTTCTTGAATTTTGTCATCCTACGTCTGTGGATCAACTTAATGTCAAGAATTGAGAATAACCACGACGGTTTATATAGAAAACAGCCGACAAAAGTAGATCTAAGATCCCAAGAGTTGCGAAATCTTACCAGATGGAACTTTGTTCCTCATCATAATCGGTCCACAGAAAGGCAATATTTTAGAGGTTGATGATGTATGTGTCTTCATGTCTTTGAGAGACACAAAGGCACATACACATCAACATCCAAAAATTTGCCTCTAAAATTTGATGACGGCAGCCACAGATTTGCATATAGAAAGGCAATTTTTTGGAAGTTGATGATGTGTGTGTGTTTGTGTATCTACACAAACGCACACACACATCAACATCCAAGAAATTGCCTCTAAAATTTGACGACGGCAGCCACAGATTTGCATTCAGAGAGACAATATTTTAGAGATTGATGATGTATGTGTATTTGTGTCTCAAATGAGACACAAATACACACACATCAACATCCAAAACAATTGCCTCCTAAGAGGTGAGATAGAGGGCAAGAAGAAATTGGAACCCTAATTGAAAACTGAAACTAAAAGAAATCGTGGAAAAAAACTCAATTTATAAAAAAAATTTCATATCCACGTTGGTTACATTTAAAATAACGCCGTTTCATAACGAATCAACGTCGGTTCTGTAAAAAAGTAGGACATATTAAACATACAAACAACGTCGGTTATTAAAATTAAGTCAACGAGGTTTTTGAAAACCACGTCTGTTTAATATACAAAAACAACGTGGTAACTTATAAGATTACTTATTTAAAAGTAAACTTTTGACGTGTAGCGCCCAACTAACCACGTCGTTTTCGGAATACAAAAAGTCAAAAGGCTTTTTTACTAACCACGTCGGTTGATGTTATTTTAATGTCGTGGTAAGTACATACTAGGGCGGTTTTTATGATTACCGTCGTTATCGTTATCTTCATGACACTATATAAACTTTTTGGTCACCTGACCTAAACTTTTACGTTCTCTCTAAAATTTTAAGTTTCCCTCTCAGTTCCGAAAAGCTGCGTGTCTGATTCTCAGTTTCCCTATCTTTTACGTTCTTCCTCGTCTTCGTCTCTAAAATTTTATTCCGAAGAAAACTTTCTTTGGAAGCCAAAGGTATTTTCTCACTCCGTTTTGTTTTCTTCACTTTCCCTTTCATTTGAAGTTTTTTTTTTTTAAAGAACGAGTCACACTGATGTTTGAAACAAGACTAGAGTATGAAAATGCCAAATCTTTCACTGTTCCCACTCGCAGTTCATGTGAGGACGACGGATTTTTATCGAATTTGATGTTTTTGTTGATACACCATGACGGTAATTAAATTCGTGCTATTTTAATAGCACGACTGTTCAAATAATCAACGTGGAGTGTTAATAAATACGTCGTTCGAAAGAGAAAACCGTTGTCTTATTTGAACGTGGAGAGAAAAAACTGCGCCGTTTTTTTATTTATGAACTTATAATACGACGACAGTTGTATTTAATTACCATCGCCTTAAGTTAATGACCACGTCATATTAGCACATCCATGTTTCTATAGATTAGCACGACGGTTCTACTTGTTTTGCCGTCGTCTGAACTTTCATTTTACGTCTGTATTTTACCTAACCGTCGTTTTTTCTTGCAGTTTGTACTTCTCTCTAAACATGGTTTCGAAATCTCAAAGTAAGGAGGCTCAAGCTACAAAAGGTCAAGGCAAGGACATTGCAGTTTCAAAGGCACAAATGGCTGAATCCAAATGTTCCAAGTAATCCTACAAAGAAGATGAGATTTACTTCATCCTCCGAGAAAGACCCAAGCTCTGCAACATTTGATGAAGTAACGAAATCGACTCGCGGTATCAACACAATGAGCCGTGTTGTGAAGAGGAAAATCCAGAAGATTAAGCCTGTGGTTGAGTACAATAAAAGTGCAGACCACATGGCAAAGCTGCTATTGAGATGAAGAGTTACATTGGTGTTTTGGCACGCACCAGAGTCCCTCTTGTGGACAAGAAATGGACTCAATTGACCAAGGACCTGAAGGAGCAGATTTGGGAAGTTGTTCAAGTGGCTTATGTTGTTGGGGAAGGGGGCAAGAAGATGGTGCTGTCGTCTGCCACCAAAAAATGGAAGGATTTTAAGTCTACCTTAACTAGACAGTTTATCCTTTCCATTCGCAAATGAGAAGGAGAAGTTAAAATAGCCCCCTCAGCTTTATAACTTCATAGAGAAATCTGAATGGGATGCCTTTGTAGCTTCAAGGTTATCCCCAGATTTTGAGGCTGTGCATTCTGAGCAGTCACAGAGAAGGGAGAGATACGAGTACAACCATAGGTTGTCTCGAAAAAGGGTACGTTGGTTCGGAGGATCAATTGGAAGAAACCATGCTCGGTGAAGAAATCGATCGATCTCTGCTATGGAAGAAGGCAAGAGAAGATAAACAAGGAAACATCCCTGATCCAAAGGCTGCAGAGAAGGCAAAATTAATCGTAAGTTTCACTGACTCTGTTCTAAACTTGTAAAATAGAGGTTTTATTTTTCATTCAGACGTCGGTCTTTTTATCAACTGTCGTTAGACAAGAAACCCCATGATGGTTTTTAATCACCGCCTTTTAAAAAATAAATAACGTCAGTATTTTTATAAAATCGACATCTTCATTGAATTACAACGACGATTTTGTGTTTCTGTATAAGGTTTTTTTAAATTAAATTTTGAACTTTCTTCATATTCACACACACATACACACTCTCTCTCTCTCCCTCTCTATTTCTCTGCAGTTGGTTTGTACACTATTTCTAGAAATCATTTACCGACGTCTTAATGTATAAAAAACGATGGTAGTTTTGGGACGACGTATTAAATTATTTTCTGCGTCTGTTTTTAAAATAAACCATCATTATAACCTATTTGCCACGTCGGTTAATATTTTTATTAATTTATTTATTTGTTCAGTTTTACTATCTGTTCACTCACTGACATTCTCTCTCTCACTTTTAGGATGATTTGAAAAAACAAGTCTCTGAGGGCACTCTGACTGTCTCTGGGAGCAACGATGTTTTGACCATGGCTTTGGGAACACTTGAGCATGGTGGGAGGGTGAGGTGTGGAGCTGGGGTTTCCCCAACTCAATTCTTCAATTTGCCGAGACAGCAGAGAGTAAAATTTGCTAACAAATTGAAGGAAAGTGTTATGGCAGCAGTGAGAGAGGAAACCAAAAAGATGGAGGCCAGGGCAAAGGAAAGTGTTATGGAGGCAGTCAACTAATTCCCAACTTTGATCCCAACATGCTCAGTAAAATTCCAACTACACCAACTACACCAATTACTCCAATTCCTCCAATTCCTCAAGAGCAAAGCCCAAAAAATCCAATGTCTGACAAAGCAAGCTGCTCTAATGTGAGAGCCCCTGAATTGGATGAAGACAATCCCATGAATGATGCTGATGCTGCTGAAAACCGTTAAGATCAAAAGGTAAAATCTCTGACATTTGCTTTTTCTGAATTTTAAATTTTAAATAGACGTCGGTATTTATTTTAAAACCCGTCATCTAGTTTAACCTAGATGACCTTTCTATTGTGTAGCGACGTTATAACTTTTACACAACGACTGTTATGTATTTACCGTCGTCTATAACCTTTACCCCGTCAGCATGTTCTAGAAACTGTTGTTGATATTATATACCACATCGGTTTTGTTGATTTGTTGGAGTCATTTATTTTACTTCATGAACACACTAACTTTTATTTCTTTATTTATTTCTTATTATAGGATCTCTCAAAGCTTGACATGCCAGCTCCTCTGTTAGCCCTATACCAATATGTCGAGACCAAGTTGAAGCCTACTAACGAGACCATTACAGTTCACATGCCTGAGGAAATGTTTGGCACTGATCATGATACCTGGCTCTTGAGTGAAGACATTTTACAGTTTGCTTCCATGGTTGAGATTGGAGCCACAGTGATTGCAGTATACATGAGGTAATTCTAGAAATCCAATTTTGTTTTTTTTACATTTTCTTTCTTTTAAATTAAAATCTCATTTAATTGAATTTCATATATTTAATTAGGTACCTATTTGACTATTTAAAAATGGCAAATATGGTAAAACTTGTTGGCCTCGTGGACCCTGGACAAGCTCTCAATCTGGAACGTTATCTCACCTCTCAAAACATCTCTCAGAAAGCCTGAAAAAGGCAGATGGGGATCAATTTTACTTGGTGCCTTATACTCCAGGGTTAGTCCCCTTCTACACTTAATTGGTTCCTTGTAATATATTTTTTTGTAGCATATTTAATATATATGGATAATTTTGTGTAGGGGTCATTGGGTGTTAATAATTGTGAGACCAGTTAAGGAGACTGTCTATTACATGAATTCATTGCCAAACCGCTCTGTTGACGAGGACATGATAAATATAGTGAATATATAAGTTTCTTAATGAAAACCTATGATTTTTTATATCTGCATTTGATTGATACGATGACTTTTTCCAATACCGACGTTGTAGTGAAAACACAACGACGGTATATTATAACTGACGTTTTCAATCATTTACAACGTCAGTATTTTCTTGGAACCGTCGTCTTAATTGAAATACCACGTCGATTTTGTTTTCCGTCGATTTTGTTTTCAATTTTAGGACTTTTTAATTTTTTATGTTAAACTTTCATTGAAAATTAACTTTGGTTATACGTCGTTTTTCTTCGTCACCGACATTAGAATGAAACACGACGGTTCTTATTTTCCAACGTTGTATATAAAATACAACGTCATTTGTTTTACAAAACCGTCATCTTCAATTATTTACCACGACAGTTAATAATTTTGATGCTGATTTTTAGCTTTGTCATTAACACTTTTTGTTTTCTTGATACAATTCAATCAAAATGTATAACTCTCACACAGGGAAACATTCATCACATAAATCACCCATATGGAAAAATCTACAAGGCACTCCTAGACAACCAACAAATGTAGAGTGTGGCTATTACGTGATGCGTTTCATGAGAGATATAATTCATGATCCAACCCTAGTCTTTGAGAAGAAGGTAAAATTTAATATATAATTTCTTTATTTTAATACCACGACATTTGCTTTAAAAACCGTTGTTTTATTGCTTCTAACACGTCGGTTTTTGTTCTTTATTTGCAGTTTGACAAGAAAAAGAAACCAGTTATGTATACTCAAGAACATATTGACGAAGTCAGGCTGGAATGGGGAGAATTCGTGAACAAGCAATTACAAAACAATAATTGATAATATAAATTTATTTAAAAATATTTACATTTATTTTAAATTTTTGACAATGTATATAAACATATTTTTATTAATTATTTGAACATTCATCAAAAAAATCAAATGAAATATATTTTTGTTTCTAATTTTATTTTATTTTTGTATAAAATATAAATGTGTTAAAATGAACTAAAATGTAAATAATCATAAAAATGTAAATTAATTCCCAAAATCTGACGTCTCATTCATCTTTACACGTCACTTATATATAGTTGGAAACAAAACATCGATGGCATTTCTCAAAAACGACATTTAAGGTTGATATACACGTTGGTTTCTTTAAAAAACTGAAACCTACGAAAAAATTTGTAGAGACATACAACGTCCGTTACATGTTAAATGATGACGTTGTATCCATAAACAACATCATCATCATAATAGTAATAGACGTTGTAAATAACTAAACACGTCGGTTATTACATTGCGACGTTTTATGTTTACTGGGACGACGTTACAAATTACTTAACGTCGTTGTAAACTAATGCAACGTCGGTTATGTACTTTTGTATTCAATTTTTGTATGACTTTGATATTTTATTCCTAATATTCGTAATAATTTCAAAACAAATTCCATAAAATAAACTGACAAAGCACAATAGTCATTATACTTTCCGTTACATAACCCTAAGGTTTATGTGATCCATTGGTGGTTATAAAATTGAAAATTCTTTAAAATAGATTTTAGCCTAATAATATAGAAGACATTGTTGTAAGGAGTCCATAGCAATTTTAGGTTCATTTTTCTCATACTTGTGTATTTTTTTATAATTATTGTAAAATTTAGGATTTAGGTTTTATTGAAACAACGCCGGTTTGCTCTCACTCTTTTTGGTCAATACACGCGTTTGAATCCCAGGAAATGCACACCAAAGCTAGTTTTTAAATATTTTAGACGTCGGTTTTTGTATGAGCGACATCAAAACGTAATACAACGTCGTAATATAAAATAAGAGTCATTATAAATATGAAATTAAACGACGATCGGGTTGTATTTACCGTCGTCTTTAATAAACGCGGTTCTTTGAATTTTTGACCGGGATCTAAAATTTTCCGAATTTCCATTTCACCCTAAAGTATTTCCTTCTCTCTCTTCAACTTAAATTGGTCTTAAAGTTTTCGCTCTCTCTCAAAGCATTGGGTATTTTCTTTGAGCTATCTCTCAAAGCATTGGGTATATTCTCAGAGCTCTCTCAAGCATTTGATATTTTCTCTCAGCTCTCTCTCTCAATATCCATGTAAGTATATTCTCTCAGCTCTCTCTCAATATTATCTTATTATTAGTTTGTATATATTCTCTCAGCACTCTCTCAATATTCTCTTAGTTTGTATATTCTCTTAGATCTCTCTAAATATTTTGTTAGTTTGTATATTTTCTCAGCTTTGGTTTCTTAATATGGGTTCTTTTATGTTTTGGGAGCTATGGGTTCTTGATTGGGAGCTATATATGGGGTTCTTTTATGTTTTGATGTTTGCATTCTGTTAAGGATTCTTTGAAATGGAATGGGGATGGAAGAATTAGGCGTTGGTTTTTTGTAAACCACGACGACGGTTGGTGAAACCAACCGTCGTCTAAAATTTTATTATATGTCGGCTTTTTATTTACTACCGCCGTCGTTGTTAGTCGACCATAACCTAGCCCTGTTCTTCAAAAAGAATACAGATATCTTGGTGTTTGCTTAAAGATGACGGTAAATAGACATATCGTCGTCTTAATATATGTTACGCGACGATTATTTCGTACAAACCGTCGTCTGATTATTGTGCAATTCTTTCCCACTTTGTTCTCTTCTCTGTCAAGTGTTTCATTGCTGGTCTTTTCACTTTATTATATGTATAATTTTATAGTGTGTGAGATGGATAAGTCATGGATGCATGCGGATAGAAGATCAAAGGAATATGAGTTAGGTGTGGAAGGATTTTGAATTTTGCTATAGAAAATCTTTTAAATACAACTCATATTCGTTGTCCATGTGTTAAATGTGGGAATATTCGATTGTTTGGAGTTGGAATTATAAGGGACCACTTATATTTTAATGGAATTGACCAAAGCTATAAGATTTGGACATGGCACGGAGAACCTTTGGAATGGACTACTAATGCTAGTAGAAATGTGGAAGAGGATGAGCAATGTGGGTTCAGTTTTGTTTATGAAGAAGTAGGGATGGATGATAATGATTTAGGCGATATTGGATTTGATCCTTATGAGTTTGCCAATGTGATTGGGGATGGAGATCAATCCTTGTACCCTAGTAGTAGTAAGTACACGATGTTGTTGGTTTTGGTGAAGTTATATAATTTGAAAGCAAAACATGGGATAAGTGATGTTTGTTTTACAAAATTATTGATACTTCAAGGAGATTTGCTTCCAGAAGGAAATACACTACCTTCCTCTATGTACGAGGCCAAAAAGACATTGTCTGCTTTAGGGATGAGTTATGAGAAAATCCACGCATTTCCCAATGACTGCATCTTGTATAGGAAGGATTATGAAGATTCAACTAATTGTCCTACTTGTGGTGTCTCAAGGTGGAAGGAAGCCAAAGATTCAATCTTGAAAGACGGTGTGCCAGCAAAGGTGGTGTGGTATTTTCCTCCAATTCCAAGGTTTAAAAGGATGTTTCAATCACATAAGACAGCTAAGAGTTTGACTTGGCATGCTGCTAGAAAATCAGTTGACGATCAAATGTCTCGTCCAGCGGATTCCCCGTCTTGGAAACTTGTTTATGATAAATGGCCTGAGTTTGGTAAAGAGCCGAGAAACTTGAGATTGGCTCTCTCATCTGATGGATTCAATCCCCACAGTTGTTTAAGTAGCAGATATAGTTGTTGGCCAGTTATTTTAGTTACATATAATCTCCCACCATGGCTATGCATGAAACGGAAGTTCATGATGTTGACCTTATTGATTTCCAGTCCTAAACAGCCTGGAAATGATATAGACGTCTACTTAGAGCCTTTGATTGATGATTTAAAATCTCTGTAGGATGAGATTAGAGGAGTGTATGATGCACATATAGGAGAATACTTTACACTCAGAGGTGTATTGTTGTGGACAGTTAATGATTTTCCTGCCTATGGGAACTTATCTGGTTGTGTTGTTAAAGGATATAAAGCTTGTCCAATATGCAGCGATGATACACCTAGTCACAAGTTGAAAAATGGCCACAAAATTTGTTACATTGGGCATATAAAATGATTACCAATCAATCATCCATATCGGAGGCAGCGTGCAGCTTTTAATGGGAAACCTGAATATGGCACGCCTCCCGGGCCATTAAACAGAGAAGAAGTGTTACATGATGAGTCGATTTTATATTATATATTTAACCTCATTCTTAGTATATTTTGGTTAATATGTTGGAAGAATTTTGATACTTTGAATTATATTTCTAATATAGGACTTTCGACTTCCTCTGGAGCAAAACATAATCAAATGGACGAATTTTGGAGTAATTCCAGTTGGAGGACGTACGTGAGTCACTTAGCTTGATCGTATCAAAATATCAGACTTTTCCACCAAGCGATGATTTCCTGGCGAATAAATGAAGGAGCAGTGCGCTATGCTGGAATAGTGACGTTTTGGGCTTTTATTGCGATTTTGGAGCCCAAGATGACCTCGGATGGGTTCGTGGCCTTCTGGAGAAGTGTTCGGAATATTTTTATCTTTAAAACGAGCTATCTTGGGCCAGATTTGGGGGAGATTTGAGACTAAAACGTGGCTGGGCAGATTATAGGCAGATTCTCCTAATCCAATTTGGACTTTATTTCCTAATCTTATTTTACTTTAACTTAGTTTCCTTGTGGGGATTGGGTAGCTAGGTTTTAGGAGGTATTTAAGCTTCTTTTCACAGCAAGTTAGGGATCTCCTTTTAGAACTTTTTTTGGCTTTGGGAGCAATTGCTAGGGTTTTGGATTTTCGCTACTTTCAGGTGTTTTCATTCTTACTCATTCGAATGATATTTTATTGGATTTCAATTATGATTATGTGTAACTAATTCCTTTTGCTAGGGTGAGGCCGTAAGCCTTAGCATGAATATGTAGTTTTATTAATTTGCTTATGAATGGATGCATGTTTGCTTTGAATTATTAATCACTGTGTTTAAAACTATCTATCTATTTAATGACTGATCACCATTAGGATATGTAGACAAGTAAATTGATGCAATTTCTGTTGGAACATCACCCTGAAATTGAGGAGGGCTTCTTGTGATTAGTAATTGTAAGTTCACTTAAGGCGAACATCACGCTCTTAAGGGTTGCATGGTTTTTCAAAGGGTTTTCACAAAGCTTAATGAGTCTTGCATGTTTATATTTGATCTGAACATCACAGACGGATTGCATGCTAGATATACGTTTTCGCTTGAACATCACAAGGAAAGTATGCATTAGGAAAACCTAACCTTCAAAGCATATATGTGGAAATTCATAAGTAATTGATAGAATTGCATAGGATTGCGACGGTGTTGGCTCAACCCTAGTTTTCTCTAAATTGTTAGTCTTTAAAAAGAAATCGTTTTTCTTCTTTGCTATTATTATTTCCCAACTTTCAAATTTCTTTTACTGTTAGTTTAATCTTTTCAAATTCATAAACTTCAAATCTTTGATAAAATCTATTTTAGTTATTAATTAAGAGTTAGTTTAATTACAGATTAGTCAAACAATCTTTGGGGACAACGACCTTGCATGAGCATTTATACTACAATTACCTTGTATTCTTGCAAGTATTTTCAGTGATTTTAACCCTGTTTGCGCAGGTACTAAAAATCCTATCAAGAAATTGGCGCCGCTGCCGGGGATTGTTTTAACTAATTTGTTTTTATCATATTCTTAGTTGATTTTGTTTACACTTTTTCTGTTTTTTATTTTTTTTTATTTTTTATTATATATATATTTTTAATTTTCGTCAAAATATTAATTAAAAAAAATATTTGAACAGTTTTGTTTCTGTTTCAGATTTTGCAAACTGCATGGTCCGGACCAGATCAGGAACTGCACAGCTTGTACAGTTTGATCCAGAACCAGAGCGCACTCTGCACAGACAGCGAAGAGAAGTTAATTGGGCCTGTGACTGTTCACTGCAGGGCACTTTTCTGCAGAATTTGTTTGTAGACGAGGGTAACATGGCGTTAGAATTACCTGCAGCAGGCAGACCACTCAGAGAGTCATTGGCAGCTCGTGCCACTGATGTTCCTAATTGCATAGTCTATCCGACCCAGGAAGAGGGTGATTCGTTCGAGATCAAGCACCATATGCTTGAGATTTTACCAACATTCCGTGGGCTGCCTAATGAAGATGCGAACATACATATTGCAAAATTTGTTGTGGGTTGCAAGAATATTTTGATTAGGGGTTTTTCTGCTGAAGCTATCAAGTTACGTCTTTTTCCTTTCACCTTGAAGGACAAGGCAGAAACTTGGTTATTTACTCTACCAGCTAATAGCATTACTACTTGGCAGCAGTTACACACAAAATTCCTGAACAAATATTATCCAGCATCCAAGACATTGAATTACAAGAGGGAGATTTTGACATTCACACAGAAGCCTAATGAAGAGTTTCATGAAGCATGGGAAAGATATACAGAGATGTACATAAAGTGTCCACATGTTAATATTGATTCAGATACACAGATGAATATTTTCTTTGATGGGCTTAATCCGACATCTAAGAGTCATGTGAATGCATCAGCTGGAGGATCGTTGTCAAATAAATCTGCAAGAGAAGCATTTGAATTATTTGATATGATGGCTACAGAATCTCAACAATGGGCAGCAGAACATTCACAGAAAAGGGGAATTTTTGAGTTATCAGCAGGATCTCCTAACATGTCTGCACAAATGGCACAAATGGAGAAGAAAATTGATGCAAAGTTTGACATTATTCTACAACAGATGGCAAGTTCTACACAGCAGCCACCTGCAACAACAGTTTGCACTATCTGCAGCATGGTTACACACGACATAATGGGCTGCCCACACAAAGACTCCTACCCAGAGCTTGTTGAACAACATGTCAATATGATGAACAGCTATCAAAGGCCTAGGAATGATGCATATGCCAATCATTACAATCCAGGATGGAAGGATCATCCTAATTTCAAATGGGGTGACAATCAGAATAATGCAAAACCATTCCAGCATGCCCAAAAACCTTTTGTTCCCTCCAAACCATCTCTGGATGATCAACTAGCTAAATTGGCAGCAACAACTCAATCATTCATCGAGGGTAACAATCAAAGATTTCAAAATGTTGAAGCATCAATTAAAAATTTGGAGCAACAATTTGGCCAGCTAGCTGCACAGATTTCAGACAGAGACAAGGGCAAATTTCCTAGTCAAACGATTCCTAATCCAAATGGACGTGAAGATTGCAATGTTGTTCGGACTTTACGTTGTGGAAAAAGTTATGACAATCGTGAAAATAGCATTGAACAGGAGCAGCAAGCAGTGGAGGATAATATAGAAAATTTTGCAGCAGCAGAACCTACCAAAATTGCAGAAAAACATAAACGGGCAGATCCAGAAACTGTTCCAAAACAAGTTCCTGAGCGTGTTTATGAGGCCCCAATTCCATATCCAGAACGTTTGAAGCCAAAAGCAAAAGATCAACAACTCAAGGACTTTATGCAGACATTATCCAAGGTTCAAATCAACATTCCGTTACTGGATGCGATCAAGAAAATTCCATCATATGCCAAATTTTTGAAGGAAGTTTGCAGCAGCAAAAAGAAGCTTTCAGATTTGGAAAAAGTCATTTTGACAGAACAGTGCAGTGCAGTTTTGCTACACAAATTGCCACCTAAGAAAAAAGATCCAGGGAGTTTTAATATTTCTTGCACTATTGGAAATTCTAATTTTAAAAGTGCTTTAATTGATTTGGGTGCAAGTATTAATTTGATGCCTTTTTCTGTTTTCCAGCGATTGGGGCAAGGAGATTTAAAGCCTACATCAATGATACTTCAACTAGCTGACCGTTCAATTACTTATCCAAGAGGTGTTATTGAAGATTTAATTATAAAGGTTGATAATCTTTATCTACCAGCAGATTTTGTGGTTCTAGACATGGATGAAGACCTTCAAACACCTATTATTTTGGGGAGGCCGTTTATGGCCACTGCTAGGACTTTAATTGATGTGGAAGCTGGAACATTGACTTTACGGGTTCAAGACCAATCTGTGGTATTTAATCTGTTTGAGACTGCAAAACAGCCTACAGAACAGCAAGATTGCATGCGCATTGACATGGTAGACAGTATGGTTCAAGACAGATTTTATGGCAGCTCAAAAACAGATCAGTTGCTACATGTTTTACAAGGGGAACTTGGGGCATATTCTGAAGATGAAGGTGTTCTTGAGTACATTCACGCATTGAACGGTCTGCCAACAGTATTGCCAAAGTTTAGACATGTTTACGAGAGTTTAGGGGAACCTAAACAGCCCCTTAACCCGTCCAGACAACAGCCACCAAAACTGGAGCTGAAGCCTTTGCCAGAACATCTGAAATATGCATATTTAGGAGCTGCAGAGACGCTGCCAGTTATAATTGCAGCAGATTTAACACATACAGAGGAAGATAAATTGCTTCGTGTGTTGAGAAAATATCAAGATGCATTGGGATGGACAATTGCGGACATCAAGGGAATCAGCCCAGCACTATGTATGCACAGAATCTTAATGGAAGACGACGTGAAGCCAACAGTTGATGCTCAACGCCGCCTTAACCCAATTATGAAAGAGGTGGTCAGATCAGAGGTTATGAAATTACTTGATGCAGGTATGATTTATCCTATTTCTGACAGTAAATGGGTTAGCCCGACTCAAGTTGTGCCTAAGCGGACCGGTATTACAGTGGTGAAAAATGATAATAATGAGTTAGTTCCTACACGATTGACTACGGGATGGAGAATGTGTGTAGATTATCGGAAGCTTAACACAGGGACAAGAAAAGACCATTTTCCTTTACCCTTCATTGACCAGATGTTGGAAAGGTTAGCTGGGCGTGCTTTTTATTGTTTTCTTGATGGTTATTCTGGGTATAATCAGATTCCAATTGCACCGGAGGATCAAGAGAAAACCACTTTCACTTGTCCATTTGGTACTTATGCTTATAGGAGGATGCCGTTTGGATTATGCAATGCACCTGCTACGTTTCAACGTTGTATGATGAGTATTTTTTCTGGCTTGGTCGAAAATATTGTGGAAGTTTTTATGGATGATTTTTCTGTTTTTGGGGATTCATATGATCAGTGTTTACAGAATTTATCATTAGTTCTTGAGAGATGCCAAGAGACACATTTAGTGCTAAACTGGGAGAAGTGTCATTTCATGGTGAAACAAGGAATTGTCTTGGGTCATTCAATTTCTAATAGAGGCATTGAGGTTGACAAAGCAAAGATTGAAATTATTGCAAAGCTGCCACCCCCTACATCAGTCAAAGGTGTGAGATCTTTCTTAGGACATGCAGGTTTTTATCGTCGGTTCATCAAGGATTTCTCCAAGATTAGCCAACCTTTGTGCAATTTATTGACTAAGGATGCATCATTTACTTTCGATGAGGCCTGTTTAGAAGCATTCAACAAGTTGAAATCACTCCTAACTTCGGCACCCATCATTGCTGCACCAAATTGGGATTTGCCATTTGAACTAATGTGTGATGCATCGGATTATGCTGTTGGGGCAGTTTTAGGGCAGCGAAAAGATAAGCTTCCCCATGTCATTTATTATGCAAGTCGTACTCTCAATGATGCACAGCTTAACTATGCAACTACAGAGAAGGAATTGTTGGCTGTTGTGTTCGCACTAGAGAAATTTCGGTCTTATTTGGTTGGGGCTAAAGTGATTATTTATACGGATCACGCTGCACTAAAATACTTGTTGTCTAAGAAGGATGCAAAGCCTAGATTGATTCGTTGGGTTCTTTTACTTCAAGAATTGACCTAGAGATTAAAGACAAAAAGGGCAGTGAGAATGTTGTGGCTGATCATTTATCTAGATTAATTATTCCAGCAGCTACGGAGGCAGATTCTCTACCATTGAGTGAAAGTTTCCCAGACGAACAGCTATTTGCTGTCCAAATTAACACACCTTGGTTTGCAGATATTGTCAATTATTTGGTTAAGGGTGTGGTGCATCCAGATTTTTCCTACCAGCAGAAAAAGAAGTTTTTATCTGATGTGAAGCATTATTTCTGGGATGAACCCTATTTATACAAGTATTGTGTAGACCAGATTATTCGCAGGTGTATTCCAGAGGCTGAACAAGACAGTGTTTTGACATTCGCACATCAGCATGCTTGTGGTGGTCATTTTGGGGGAAAACGGACAGCAGCTAAAATATTACAAAGTGGGTTGTATTGGCCTACTATTTTTAAAGATGCTCATGTTTGGTGCCAGGCTTGTGACAGATGTCAACGTGTGGGAAATCAGTCAAAGCGGAATGAAATGCCACAGCAAAGTATTTTAGTTGTTGAATTATTCGATATTTGGGGCATTGACTTTATGGGACCATTCCCATCATCCAATGGCAATCAGTACATATTGGTGGTTGTTGAATATGTTTCTAAGTGGGTCGAGGCTGTTGCAGCACCAACAAATCAAGGATCTGTGGTACTGAAATTCCTCCAAGGCACTATTTTTCCACGTTTCGGGACACCTAGAGCGATTATCAGTGATGGGGGAAAGCACTTTTTAAATAAACAGTTTGCTGCACTACTCACTAAATATGGGATAAGTCATCGGGTGGCCACTGCATACCATCCTCAAACTTCTGGGCAAGTTGAAATTTCTAATAGGGAAATTAAGCGCATCTTAGAGAAAACAGTCAATGCCAGCCGCAAAGACTGGAGTGTTAAGTTGAATGATGCTTTATGGGCCTACAGAACAGCGTATAAAACGCCAATTGGAATGTCCCCCTTTCGGCTTGTTTATGGTAAAGCATGTCATCTACCTATGGAGCTTGAACACAAGGCTTACTGGGCAATTAAGGAGCTTAATTATGCCTATGATGCAGCTGGAGAAAAAAGAAAATTACAGTTGCACGAGTTGGAAGAACTCCGGAATGACGCATATGAAAGTTCAAAGATATACAAAGAGAAAACAAAAGCATTCCATGACAGCAAAATTCTCCGAAAACAATTTCAGCCAGGGCAGAAGGTTCTATTTTTCAATTCAAGGTTGAAGTTATTCCCTGGAAAATTAAAATCTAGGTGGCAGGGTCCCTACAATGTTACTAAAGTCTATCCACACGGCGCTGTGGATATTAAAAATGGGAAGACCGGTTTCGAGTTTAAAGTCAATGGTCATAGACTCAAACACTACTTGGAGGCGCCGTTTGACAATGCAACCGAGTCGGTGACTCTGAAGGAACCGGTGATTTGACCACCAGACTTCTGCAAAGTCTAGCTACAGACTTAAAATAAAGCGCTCATTGGGAGGCAACCCAATTTTTCTATACTCTTTACTTTTTTTAAAAAAAAAAAAAAAATTTGTTGTTTTCTTTAACTAGATGTTTTTATTTTCTTTCTACTCATAACACATCATTGATTCAATGCAGGATACAACAATCAGCAGCAAACATCAAAAACAGAAAAATCCTATGCTGGAATCCTGCACCCAGCAGCAAGTCTACACTGGGAAAGACACAACATTCAGCAGCACACATCAAATGCAGAAAAATCCTAGGCTGGAATCCTGCACCCAGCAGCAAGTCTACACAGGGACCGACACAACAATCAGCAGCACACATCAAACGCAGAAAAATCCTAGGCTGGAATCCTGCACCCAGCAGCAAGTCTACCAAATTTCCAACAACACAAATTTGCAGGGATTCGAAATTATACCTATGAGATGCACGGATTGGGGGTCCTCAGGGCTTTGTGCTGTTTTGTCCTTTGAGCTTGTGTGCTGACTGCCGTCTCTTGGATCTGCAACTTTCCTACACTGTGCACATGTCGAAATTATACACACATCTATACATCAACCACAGCTCCCCAAATCAGGACCCAAAACAAATTCTGGAATTAATCTTACCTTCGAATGGATATTGGATCTTGAAATCATCCTTGCAAGATTAGTGGTCAAGTGGTTCTTGGGTGACTCAATGTTCTTTTTGGACGAAATCCCATTAGACAACGTTCTTCTCCAGCAGCTTTTTGAAGTCACCAATCTCAACTTCAAGCTTGGCCACATGGGATTCCAATTCTTTGACAATTCAAGTGGAGCATCCCATAGCTGGTGTCATTTCAAATTTGGGTTGGGAATCAAACAGATGGCGTAATTTATATTCTAGGGTTCGAAATCATACCTACAAGATGCACCGATCTGGGGTCCTTACTGGTGGAGAATGGACTCTGGTTCGGATTCAACTTGCTTTCATCTTGGAACAGGTTAGCATCTGGTGACATGGATGGAGATATATCTGAAATTGAGGAGTCAAGAAATTCAAAAAAAACATATAGAGATTCAAGTGCATCAGATAATTCCACCCCACAGAGAGACAAGGCCCTTGCGTTCTTGAGAAAAATGAAGAAGGGCGAGAGCGCAAACCTGCGTTTTCTGAGCGAACTGGAGAAGTGAGAGCGTTGAGATGAATGGGTCTGCAACTTCCAGTTTTCTCACAACCAACAGAGATGCAATTAGATCTGTCCACATGACACCCGCTGCGGCTACACCAATTATATTGTCGAAAATGCTTGGACTTGACACAAGTCTGCCCTCGTCCGTGTTGGTAAGTGCGCTCAGCAATTCCCAGCTGCTGGTCCTGCCAGGTGTGTTCGTTTTCTTCTTTTTGTTCTTATTGTTTTTATTTCTTTATTTCTTTTTAATTTTTATTTATTTATTTATGTATTTTTCTCTCTTAGGGTATTTTCTTTATTTTTGCTGTCACATCTATTTATTTTCCACACCTTGAGGACAACGTGTGATTTAAGTTTGGGGGTGGGAAAATAAAGAAATTTAGATTTTTAATTTTTTGGGTCTTGTTTAAAATTTTCGTTTTTAAGTTCATATCCATAAATTATTTTAAACATTAGAACGAATGGACATGGTGAAAATCAATCCCACAGTAGAGTCTTTTTTGTTTATTGTTGCTTAGACACTAATTCATGAATTATACTTTGAAATTTGCACATCACACCAACATGGTTTTGGGGAGTGAGATTGAAATACTTACTTTTTGTCTAAGTGTGTTTTAATTTTTGTTCTTTATAAAAATAAAGTTAGTATGTGTTATAAAGTAATAATTGCCTCACCCGAAGCTTTGCTAGTAACCGGGCCAGTCCTGCCTAATCAGCAGTGATTCTCGAGACAAACAGTAGAGTTTTGGCATGAGGCAGGGTGGTTAGTTGGTTTCGTAGCCTTTTCAGCTTGAGTTAATAAGTCCTTAGGGGTGTTCTACACCTAGTGCCCTAAAGCCTTAGTGGTTTGGGAGTCATTGACTTAAAGATCGCTACATGGGTTGGATCGAAAGCTTAAGGGAACCAACATTGCACAACCACTACTATTACTAAAAAAAAAAAAAAAAAAAAAAAAAAAAAAAAAAAAAAAAAAAAAAAAAAAAAAGAAGTATGAATAAAAGGGATGAGAGATAAGGGTTTTAGTCAAGTCTCCTTAACTATGATGGTTCACTTTGCACCGAAGGAAGTTTGTGAATTCTTTTCTAATTGATTCTAAATAGCTTAGACTCTGTGGTGGGATTACTTGGATCTATTGAAAAGATGTTCTAGTTTTTAAAATTTCCTATGGATTGCAACTTGAAGGTGAAAATTCTGTTCTATTAAGTTTTAGCCAGGTGTTTAGTTTTTTTTAAGTTTTTATTTTTGTTTGAGTCTTGTTTTGCTTGAGGACAAGCGAAAAGCTAAGTTTGGGGGTATTTTGATGAGTCGATTTTATATTATATATTTAACCTCATTCTTAGTATATTTTGGTTAATATGTTGGAAGAATTTTGATACTTTGAATTATATTTCTAATATAGGACTTTCGACTTCCTCTGGAGCAAAACATAATCAAATGGACGAATTTTGGAGTAATTCCAGTTGGAGGACGTACGTGAGTCACTTAGCTTGATCGTATCAAAATATCAGACTTTTCCACCAAGCGATGATTTCCTGGCGAATAAATGAAGGAGCAGTGCGCTATGCTGGAATAGTGACGTTTTGGGCTTTTATTGCGATTTTGGAGCCCAAGATGACCTCGGATGGGTTCGTGGCCTTCTGGAGAAGTGTTCGGAATATTTTTATCTTTAAAACGAGCTATCTTGGGCCAGATTTGGGGGAGATTTGAGACTAAAACGTGGCTGGGCAGATTATAGGCAGATTCTCCTAATCCAATTTGGACTTTATTTCCTAATCTTATTTTACTTTAACTTAGTTTCCTTGTGGGGATTGGGTAGCTAGGTTTTAGGAGGTATTTAAGCTTCTTTTCACAGCAAGTTAGGGATCTCCTTTTAGAACTTTTTTTGGCTTTGGGAGCAATTGCTAGGGTTTTGGATTTTCGCTACTTTCAGGTGTTTTCATTCTTACTCATTCGAATGATATTTTATTGGATTTCAATTATGATTATGTGTAACTAATTCCTTTTGCTAGGGTGAGGCCGTAAGCCTTAGCATGAATATGTAGTTTTATTAATTTGCTTATGAATGGATGCATGTTTGCTTTGAATTATTAATCACTGTGTTTAAAACTATCTATCTATTTTAATGACTGATCACCATTAGGATATGTAGACAAGTAAATTGATGCAATTTCTGTTGGAACATCACCCTGAAATTGAGGAGGGCTTCTTGTGATTAGTAATTGTAAGTTCACTTAAGGCGAACATCACGCTCTTAAGGGTTGCATGGTTTTTCAAAGGGTTTTCACAAAGCTTAATGAGTCTTGCATGTTTATATTTGATCTGAACATCACAGACGGATTGCATGCTAGATATACGTTTTCGCTTGAACATCACAAGGAAAGTATGCATTAGGAAAACCTAACCTTCAAAGCATATATGTGGAAATTCATAAGTAATTGATAGAATTGCATAGGATTGCGACGGTGTTGGCTCAACCCTAGTTTTCTCTAAATTGTTAGTCTTTAAAAAGAAATCGTTTTTCTTCTTTGCTATTATTATTTCCCAACTTTCAAATTTCTTTTACTGTTAGTTTAATCTTTTCAAATTCATAAACTTCAAATCTTTGATAAAATCTATTTTAGTTATTAATTAAGAGTTAGTTTAATTACAGATTAGTCAAACAATCTTTGGGGACAACGACCTTGCATGAGCATTTATACTACAATTACCTTGTATTCTTGCAAGTATTTTCAGTGATTTTAACCCTGTTTGCGCAGGTACTAAAAATCCTATCAAGAAATTGGCGCCGCTGCCGGGGATTGTTTTAACTAATTTGTTTTTATCATATTCTTAGTTGATTTTGTTTACACTTTTTCTGTTTTTTATTTTTTTTATTTTTTATTTTTTTATATATTTTTTTAATTTTCGTCAAAATATTAATTAAAAAATAATATTTGAACAGTTTCGTTTCTGTTTCAGATTTTGCAAACTGCATGGTCCGGACCAGATCAGGAACTGCACAGCTTGTACAGTTTGATCCAGAACCAGAGCGCACTCTGCACAGACAGCGAAGAGAAGTTAATTGGGCCTGTGACTGTTCACTGCAGGGCACTTTTCTGCAGAATTTGTTTGTAGACGAGGGTAACATGGCGTTAGAATTACCTGCAGCAGGCAGACCACTCAGAGAGTCATTGGCAGCTCGTGCCACTGATGTTCCTAATTGCATAGTCTATCCGACCCAGGAAGAGGGTGATTCGTTCGAGATCAAGCACCATATGCTTGAGATTTTACCAACATTCCGTGGGCTGCCTAATGAAGATGCGAACATACATATTGCAAAATTTGTTGTGGGTTGCAAGAATATTTTGATTAGGGGTTTTTCTGCTGAAGCTATCAAGTTACGTCTTTTTCCTTTCACCTTGAAGGACAAGGCAGAAACTTGGTTATTTACTCTACCAGCTAATAGCATTACTACTTGGCAGCAGTTACACACAAAATTCCTGAACAAATATTATCCAGCATCCAAGACATTGAATTACAAGAGGGAGATTTTGACATTCACACAGAAGCCTAATGAAGAGTTTCATGAAGCATGGGAAAGATATACAGAGATGTACATAAAGTGTCCACATGTTAATATTGATTCAGATACACAGATGAATATTTTCTTTGATGGGCTTAATCCGACATCTAAGAGTCATGTGAATGCATCAGCTGGAGGATCGTTGTCAAATAAATCTGCAAGAGAAGCATTTGAATTATTTGATATGATGGCTACAGAATCTCAACAATGGGCAGCAGAACATTCACAGAAAAGGGGAATTTTTGAGTTATCAGCAGGATCTCCTAACATGTCTGCACAAATGGCACAAATGGAGAAGAAAATTGATGCAAAGTTTGACATTATTCTACAACAGATGGCAAGTTCTACACAGCAGCCACCTGCAACAACAGTTTGCACTATCTGCAGCATGGTTACACACGACATAATGGGCTGCCCACACAAAGACTCCTACCCAGAGCTTGTTGAACAACATGTCAATATGATGAACAGCTATCAAAGGCCTAGGAATGATGCATATGCCAATCATTACAATCCAGGATGGAAGGATCATCCTAATTTCAAATGGGGTGACAATCAGAATAATGCAAAACCATTCCAGCATGCCCAAAAACCTTTTGTTCCCTCCAAACCATCTCTGGATGATCAACTAGCTAAATTGGCAGCAACAACTCAATCATTCATCGAGGGTAACAATCAAAGATTTCAAAATGTTGAAGCATCAATTAAAAATTTGGAGCAACAATTTGGCCAGCTAGCTGCACAGATTTCAGACAGAGACAAGGGCAAATTTCCTAGTCAAACGATTCCTAATCCAAATGGACGTGAAGATTGCAATGTTGTTCGGACTTTACGTTGTGGAAAAAGTTATGACAATCGTGAAAATAGCATTGAACAGGAGCAGCAAGCAGTGGAGGATAATATAGAAAATTTTGCAGCAGCAGAACCTACCAAAATTGCAGAAAAACATAAACGGGCAGATCCAGAAACTGTTCCAAAACAAGTTCCTGAGCGTGTTTATGAGGCCCCAATTCCATATCCAGAACGTTTGAAGCCAAAAGCAAAAGATCAACAACTCAAGGACTTTATGCAGACATTATCCAAGGTTCAAATCAACATTCCGTTACTGGATGCGATCAAGAAAATTCCATCATATGCCAAATTTTTGAAGGAAGTTTGCAGCAGCAAAAAGAAGCTTTCAGATTTGGAAAAAGTCATTTTGACAGAACAGTGCAGTGCAGTTTTGCTACACAAATTGCCACCTAAGAAAAAAGATCCAGGGAGTTTTAATATTTCTTGCACTATTGGAAATTCTAATTTTAAAAGTGCTTTAATTGATTTGGGTGCAAGTATTAATTTGATGCCTTTTTCTGTTTTCCAGCGATTGGGGCAAGGAGATTTAAAGCCTACATCAATGATACTTCAACTAGCTGACCGTTCAATTACTTATCCAAGAGGTGTTATTGAAGATTTAATTATAAAGGTTGATAATCTTTATCTACCAGCAGATTTTGTGGTTCTAGACATGGATGAAGACCTTCAAACACCTATTATTTTGGGGAGGCCGTTTATGGCCACTGCTAGGACTTTAATTGATGTGGAAGCTGGAACATTGACTTTACGGGTTCAAGACCAATCTGTGGTATTTAATCTGTTTGAGACTGCAAAACAGCCTACAGAACAGCAAGATTGCATGCGCATTGACATGGTAGACAGTATGGTTCAAGACAGATTTTATGGCAGCTCAAAAACAGATCAGTTGCTACATGTTTTACAAGGGGAACTTGGGGCATATTCTGAAGATGAAGGTGTTCTTGAGTACATTCACGCATTGAACGGTCTGCCAACAGTATTGCCAAAGTTTAGACATGTTTACGAGAGTTTAGGGGAACCTAAACAGCCCCTTAACCCGTCCAGACAACAGCCACCAAAACTGGAGCTGAAGCCTTTGCCAGAACATCTGAAATATGCATATTTAGGAGCTGCAGAGACGCTGCCAGTTATAATTGCAGCAGATTTAACACATACAGAGGAAGATAAATTGCTTCGTGTGTTGAGAAAATATCAAGATGCATTGGGATGGACAATTGCGGACATCAAGGGAATCAGCCCAGCACTATGTATGCACAGAATCTTAATGGAAGACGACGTGAAGCCAACAGTTGATGCTCAACGCCGCCTTAACCCAATTATGAAAGAGGTGGTCAGATCAGAGGTTATGAAATTACTTGATGCAGGTATGATTTATCCTATTTCTGACAGTAAATGGGTTAGCCCGACTCAAGTTGTGCCTAAGCGGACCGGTATTACAGTGGTGAAAAATGATAATAATGAGTTAGTTCCTACACGATTGACTACGGGATGGAGAATGTGTGTAGATTATCGGAAGCTTAACACAGGGACAAGAAAAGACCATTTTCCTTTACCCTTCATTGACCAGATGTTGGAAAGGTTAGCTGGGCGTGCTTTTTATTGTTTTCTTGATGGTTATTCTGGGTATAATCAGATTCCAATTGCACCGGAGGATCAAGAGAAAACCACTTTCACTTGTCCATTTGGTACTTATGCTTATAGGAGGATGCCGTTTGGATTATGCAATGCACCTGCTACGTTTCAACGTTGTATGATGAGTATTTTTTCTGGCTTGGTCGAAAATATTGTGGAAGTTTTTATGGATGATTTTTCTGTTTTTGGGGATTCATATGATCAGTGTTTACAGAATTTATCATTAGTTCTTGAGAGATGCCAAGAGACACATTTAGTGCTAAACTGGGAGAAGTGTCATTTCATGGTGAAACAAGGAATTGTCTTGGGTCATTCAATTTCTAATAGAGGCATTGAGGTTGACAAAGCAAAGATTGAAATTATTGCAAAGCTGCCACCCCCTACATCAGTCAAAGGTGTGAGATCTTTCTTAGGACATGCAGGTTTTTATCGTCGGTTCATCAAGGATTTCTCCAAGATTAGCCAACCTTTGTGCAATTTATTGACTAAGGATGCATCATTTACTTTCGATGAGGCCTGTTTAGAAGCATTCAACAAGTTGAAATCACTCCTAACTTCGGCACCCATCATTGCTGCACCAAATTGGGATTTGCCATTTGAACTAATGTGTGATGCATCGGATTATGCTGTTGGGGCAGTTTTAGGGCAGCGAAAAGATAAGCTTCCCCATGTCATTTATTATGCAAGTCGTACTCTCAATGATGCACAGCTTAACTATGCAACTACAGAGAAGGAATTGTTGGCTGTTGTGTTCGCACTAGAGAAATTTCGGTCTTATTTGGTTGGGGCTAAAGTGATTATTTATACGGATCACGCTGCACTAAAATACTTGTTGTCTAAGAAGGATGCAAAGCCTAGATTGATTCGTTGGGTTCTTTTACTTCAAGAATTTGACCTAGAGATTAAAGACAAAAAGGGCAGTGAGAATGTTGTGGCTGATCATTTATCTAGATTAATTATTCCAGCAGCTACGGAGGCAGATTCTCTACCATTGAGTGAAAGTTTCCCAGACGAACAGCTATTTGCTGTCCAAATTAACACACCTTGGTTTGCAGATATTGTCAATTATTTGGTTAAGGGTGTGGTGCATCCAGATTTTTCCTACCAGCAGAAAAAGAAGTTTTTATCTGATGTGAAGCATTATTTCTGGGATGAACCCTATTTATACAAGTATTGTGTAGACCAGATTATTCGCAGGTGTATTCCAGAGGCTGAACAAGACAGTGTTTTGACATTCGCACATCAGCATGCTTGTGGTGGTCATTTTGGGGGAAAACGGACAGCAGCTAAAATATTACAAAGTGGGTTGTATTGGCCTACTATTTTTAAAGATGCTCATGTTTGGTGCCAGGCTTGTGACAGATGTCAACGTGTGGGAAATCAGTCAAAGCGGAATGAAATGCCACAGCAAAGTATTTTAGTTGTTGAATTATTCGATATTTGGGGCATTGACTTTATGGGACCATTCCCATCATCCAATGGCAATCAGTACATATTGGTGGTTGTTGAATATGTTTCTAAGTGGGTCGAGGCTGTTGCAGCACCAACAAATCAAGGATCTGTGGTACTGAAATTCCTCCAAGGCACTATTTTTCCACGTTTCGGGACACCTAGAGCGATTATCAGTGATGGGGGAAAGCACTTTTTAAATAAACAGTTTGCTGCACTACTCACTAAATATGGGATAAGTCATCGGGTGGCCACTGCATACCATCCTCAAACTTCTGGGCAAGTTGAAATTTCTAATAGGGAAATTAAGCGCATCTTAGAGAAAACAGTCAATGCCAGCCGCAAAGACTGGAGTGTTAAGTTGAATGATGCTTTATGGGCCTACAGAACAGCGTATAAAACGCCAATTGGAATGTCCCCCTTTCGGCTTGTTTATGGTAAAGCATGTCATCTACCTATGGAGCTTGAACACAAGGCTTACTGGGCAATTAAGGAGCTTAATTATGCCTATGATGCAGCTGGAGAAAAAAGAAAATTACAGTTGCACGAGTTGGAAGAACTCCGGAATGACGCATATGAAAGTTCAAAGATATACAAAGAGAAAACAAAAGCATTCCATGACAGCAAAATTCTCCGAAAACAATTTCAGCCAGGGCAGAAGGTTCTATTTTTCAATTCAAGGTTGAAGTTATTCCCTGGAAAATTAAAATCTAGGTGGCAGGGTCCCTACAATGTTACTAAAGTCTATCCACACGGCGCTGTGGATATTAAAAATGGGAAGACCGGTTTCGAGTTTAAAGTCAATGGTCATAGACTCAAACACTACTTGGAGGCGCCGTTTGACAATGCAACCGAGTCGGTGACTCTGAAGGAACCGGTGATTTGACCACCAGACTTCTGCAAAGTCTAGCTACAGACTTAAAATAAAGCGCTCATTGGGAGGCAACCCAATTTTTCTATACTCTTTACTTTTTTTAAAAAAAAAAAAAAAATTGTTGTTTTCTTTAACTAGATGTTTTTATTTTCTTTCTACTCATAACACATCATTGATTCAATGCAGGATACAACAATCAGCAGCAAACATCAAAAGCAGAAAAATCCTATGCTGGAATCCTGCACCCAGCAGCAAGTCTACACTGGGAAAGACACAACATTCAGCAGCACACATCAAATGCAGAAAAATCCTAGGCTGGAATCCTGCACCCAGCAGCAAGTCTACACAGGGACCGACACAACAATCAGCAGCACACATCAAACGCAGAAAAATCCTAGGCTGGAATCCTGCACCCAGCAGCAAGTCTACCAAATTTCCAACAACACAAATTTGCAGGGATTCGAAATTATACCTATGAGATGCACGGATTGGGGGTCCTCAGGGCTTTGTGCTGTTTTGTCCTTTGAGCTTGTGTGCTGACTGCCGTCTCTTGGATCTGCAACTTTCCTACACTGTGCACATGTCGAAATTATACACACATCTATACATCAACCACAGCTCCCAAATCAGGACCCAAAACAAATTCTGGAATTAATCTTACCTTCGAATGGATATTGGATCTTGAAATCATCATTGCAAGATTAGTGGTCAAGTGGTTCTTGGGTGACTCAATGTTCTTTTTGGACGAAATCCCATTAGACAACGTTCTTCTCCAGCAGCTTTTTGAAGTCACCAATCTCAACTTCAAGCTTGGCCACATGGGATTCCAATTCTTTGACAATACAAGTGGAGCATCCCATAGCTGGTGTCATTTCAAATTTGGGTTGGGAATCAAACAGATGGCGTAATTTATATTCTAGGGTTCGAAATCATACCTACAAGATGCACCGATCTGGGGTCCTTACTGGTGGAGAATGGACTCTGGTTCGGATTCAACTTGCTTTCATCTTGGAACAGGTTAGCATCTGGTGACATGGATGGAGATATATCTGAAATTGAGGAGTCAAGAAATTCAAAAAAAACATATAGAGATTCAAGTGCATCAGATAATTCCACCCCACAGAGAGACAAGGCCCTTGCGTTCTTGAGAAAAATGAAGAAGGGCGAGAGCGCAAACCTGCGTTTTCTGAGCGAACTGGAGAAGTGAGAGCGTTGAGATGAATGGGTCTGCAACTTCCAGTTTTCTCACAACCAACAGAGATGCAATTAGATCTGTCCACATGACACCCGCTGCGGCTACACCAATTATATTGTCGAAAATGCTTGGACTTGACACAAGTCTGCCCTCGTCCGTGTTGGTAAGTGCGCTCAGCAATTCCCAGCTGCTGGTCCTGCCAGGTGTGTTCGTTTTCTTGCTTTTTGTTCTTATTGTTTTTATTTCTTTATTTCTTTTTAATTTTTATTTATTTATTTATGTATTTTTCTCTCTTAGGGTATTTTCTTTATTTTTGCTGTCACATCTATTTATTTTCCACACCTTGAGGACAACGTGTGATTTAAGTTTGGGGGTGGGAAAATAAAGAAATTTAGATTTTTAATTTTTTGGGTCTTGTTTAAAATTTTCGTTTTTAAGTTCATATCCATAAATTATTTTAAACATTAGAACGAATGGACATGGTGAAAATCAATCCCACAGTAGAGTCTTTTTGTTTATTGTTGCTTAGACACTAATTCATGAATTATACTTTGAAATTTGCACATCACACCAACATGGTTTTGGGGAGTGAGATTGAAATACTTACTTTTTGTCTAAGTGTGTTTTAATTTTTGTTCTTTATAAAAATAAAGTTAGTATGTGTTATAAAGTAATAATTGCCTCACCCGAAGCTTTGCTAGTAACCGGGCCAGTCCTGCCTAATCAGCAGTGATTCTCGAGACAAACAGTAGAGTTTTGGCATGAGGCAGGGTGGTTAGTTGGTTTCGTAGCCTTTTCAGCTTGAGTTAATAAGTCCTTAGGGGTGTTCTACACCTAGTGCCCTAAAGCCTTAGTGGTTTGGGAGTCATTGACTTAAAGATCGCTACATGGGTTGGATCGAAAGCTTAAGGGAACCAACATTGCACAACCACTACTGTTACTAAAATAAAAAAAAAAATAAAAAAAAATAAAAAAAAAGAAGAAGAAAAAAAAAAGTGAAGTATGAATAAAAGGGATGAGAGATAAGGGTTTTAGTCAAGTCTCCTTAACTATGATGGTTCACTTTGCACCGAAGGAAGTTTGTGAATTCTTTTCTAATTGATTCTAAATAGCTTAGACTCTGTGGTGGGATTACTTGGATCTATTGAAAAGATGTTCTAGTTTTTAAAATTTCCTATGGATTGCAACTTGAAGGTGAAAATTCTGTTCTATTAAGTTTTAGCCAGGTGTTTAGTTTTTTTAAGTTTTTATTTTTGTTTGAGTCTTGTTTTGCTTGAGGACAAGCGAAAAGCTAAGTTTGGGGGTATTTTTGATGAGTCGATTTTTTAAAAAAAAAAAAAAAAAAAAAAAAAAAAAAAAAAAAAAAAAAAAAAAAAAAAAAAAAAAAAAAAAAAAAAAAAAAAAAAAAAAAAAAAAAAAAAAAAAAAAAAAAAAAAAAAAAAAAAAAAAAAAAAAAAAAAAAAAAAAAAAAAAAAAAAAAAAAAAAAAAAAAAAAAAAAAAAAAAAAAAAAAAAAAAAAAAAAAAAAAAAAAAAAAAAAAAAAAAAAAAAAAAAAAAAAAAAAAAAAAAAAAAAAAAAAAAAAAAAAAAAAAAAAAAAAAAAAAAAAAAAAAAAAAAAAAAAAAAAAAAAAAAAAAAAAAAAAAAAAAAAAAAAAAAAAAAAAAAAAAAAAAAAAAAAAAAAAAAAAAAAAAAAAAAAAAAAAAAAAAAAAAAAATGATAAGTCCATAAATATACTCATTTATGTACTCTTTTTACTTAGGTTTTGTAGGAGAATTAGATTTAAAAAGGGCTTATTACTTTACTTTTCTGATTTTCAGCTTTTCTGCGCTCTTAGAAGGTTTTTAAGGAAAAATCAACTTTTCGGAGGAATTTTAGAGCAAGGCCAATTGGAGATGAAAGCTAACATCTTGAAGTTCAATCTGTGATTTTTCTAGAATTTTCTACCAAGCCAATTGGTACAGTATTACAAGTAAAGTTAGCCCACGTGCAGACAAGACAGTTTCGTACATGTTACGTGAATGTGAAGAACGGAAGCCTTCCCGAATTTTCCAAGTTACGTGCTATATATGGTTGGAAAGATAAGACATTTATCTTTCTAAAATATATTTTTAATGATTTTTCTGCAAGGCCGAAGATCCCCAAATCGTGTGACAATTGGGCTGAGCTGTATTTCCCTGTGGAGTTAGGAATTGTGATTTTTACTTTCCTATTTGGATTCCTTGTTTACCAAGACTTCTTGGACGACTCTCAGTCAATTTTAGGGTTTATAACTTGATATAAGTGATATAAAAGGCCAGCCAAGGCCCCGATACAGAGATTCACGTCCAAAAGGGATCAACCGCGTAAGAGGAGAAAGCTGCCAACGAGTTCTTTCTTTTCCTTTCTTCTTTTAAGTTTCAGTTCTTATGTATTTATTTTTGAGTTCATCCAAGAGCATGAGTAACTAATTTCTTGTTAGTTAGGGCTTAATCTTGAAGCCCTAAACATGATTTCAATTCTATAAACAAGTTTGAATGGATTTTCAGTTTCTACAAGTGTGATGATTTCGGTTTCTCTATGTTTTGTGAATTCTGATATTTTGTTTCTTTGAGTAGCTAACTTTGAAGCATGTATTGGAATTAAATTGTTGTAGAACATAGGTCAATTGCCATATTGAATGTGTTCTTGTTTGCAACGAATAATTGGGTTAAGAACTAGTTATGAGAAATCGATTCTTGAATTCCTAATAACAAATGCCATGTTTTAGGGTTTTTGTGACACTCATATTCTCTTTGATCTTAATGGATTCTTGATTGTTAATTTGAGTAAATGCCATACTAGATTTCAATTAAGAATACACGTATTGATGTAAATGCCATACACTTTACATGCACTTAAGAGAGAATCATACAACTCGAGTCAAATGCCATGATCTTGTTGTGAGTGTCGTCATCATATGATTGCTAGAAATTGATTATCTATTGTTGTTTATGAATTGATTGATTGGTTAGAGGTGGATAGTGAGTCCTAGCTATTGTTCTTGATTGATTATAAACCAATTTCTCTTAAACTCTAATTTAAATTCTGTTTTGTTTTGTTTTCCTTATTTTGTTTTATTCACAAAATCAAATAAAAACCCCCCTTGGTGTTGGCGTGTGTGTGGAAGTCCTTGTGTTTTCGTTGCGTGACATTGATAAACATCTCTCTAGATTACAATCTCTGTGGGAATGACCCTTGCTTGCTTACTATACTATCATTTGATTTGTGCACTTGCAAGGTTTAAATATTGTTGTTAAAAATTACCAACAAGTTTTTGGCGCCGTTGCCGGGGATTGTCAATCTAATTGAGTTTTGTTTTCAATTTTCAGGTATATGCTGGGTCGTCGTTCGCAGAGTCACGAGCTTATACCATACGACCCTGAACTAGAGAACACACTTCGTTATCTCCGTCGAGATAAAAATAAGCAAGATACACTTCCAATCAAGATGGGAGACGCGTTGGAACTTAACAACCTCACCCGACCTTTGAAGGATTTCACGGTTCCTAAAGCATTGGACCAGCCGTCTTGCATTGCATATCCAGCCACTACAACCACCTTTGAGATCAAGAGTGGCACCATTCACCTTTTGCCACAATTCTATGGCAAGGTTGGGGATGATCCTCACATACATATCAAGGATTTCTTTGCTGTGTGCGCAACTATGCACAATGGAGGGATTAGTGATGAGGCAATCAGATTGCGTTTGTTTCCATTCTCACTCAAGGAACGAGCCAAGGAGTGGCTCTATTCTTTACCTAGTGCATCTATCACCACATGGACAGCATTGGCTTCCAAGTTCCTTGCAAAGTTCTTTCCAGCTCAAAAGACAAACCATATTAGGAAGGAGATCATGGGAGTGCAGCAACTAGATGGAGAATCATTTCATGAGTATTGGGATCGGTTTCAAAGACTCCTAGCTTCGTGCCCTCATCACCAAATTGAAGATTGGCTACTTATGCAATACTTTTATGAGGGATTACTTGATTCGGAGAGGATGATGGTTGATGCTACTAGTGGAGGAGGCTTGATGAACAAGAGTGCTACTCAAGCTAAGGAGATGTTTGAGAACATTGCAGCAAACTCTCAACAATTTAATTACCGGAGAGCTCCCCCAAAGAAAGCAGGTGTTTATGAGGTAAGTGCTAGTGATATTGGTCCTCAAATAGCTAATTTGACTAACCTTGTTAAGCAATTAATCCCTCAAGCACAAGTGTGTGCCGTGTGTGCTAATCCCGGACATCCTACGGAGTCTTGTCCAAGTTTGTATGGTGACGGAGAAGAGATGGCTCAAGCACACTATATGCAGCAACAAAAGCCAAGAAACGATCCTTTTTCTAACACCTATAATCCGGGATGGCGGCAACACCCTAACTTTGGATGGAAGAACAACCAAAATGTGCAAACAGCCCCAGTTCAACAAAATCAGTTTGTTCCTCAACAAAATGCACCACCACCTCATGGGCAAGGTAAGTCTTTAGAAGAGTTAATTAATTCTTTGGCATTAAGCACTCAAGGTTTTATGCAGGAAACAAGGCAAACACAGGCACAAATGTCTACAGCAATCAAGAGCCTTGAAAACCAAGTTGGACAAATTGCAGCCTCCTTGAGTCAAAGAGAGCCAGGAAAGTTTCCAAGCCAAGTAATTCCAAATCCTAATGGAGGCCATGAAACAGCAAAGGCGATTACTCTTCGAAGTGGAAAAGAGGTGGCAAATGTTGACAAGGAGGAGAGAAATTCAACCAAAACAGTGGCTGCCCCTTTTCCAAGCTTACGGTTCCAAGTGACAACTCTAAGGTAAGTTCTCCTGTGAATCATTCGATTACTCCAAAAGTTCCTTTTCCTCGTAGGTTTTTGAATTCAAAGAAGGAGCAAGTTTCAAAGGATATCCTAGAGACTTTCCGAAAAGTGCAAGTGAACATTCCCTTGCTTGATGCGATCCAACAAATTCCAAGCTATGCAAAATTCCTCAAAGACCTTTGTACAAATAAGAGAAAGTTCAAGGAGCATGAAACCGTGGCCTTGAGTGAAGAAGTCTCAGCTGTGCTATTGCGTAAATTGCCTCCTAAACTAAAGGATCCAGGGAGTTTTACTATACCTTGTCTCATTGGAAATCAAAGGTTTGAACATGCTTTATTAGACTTAGGTGCTTCAATTAATTTGATGCCTTTTTCTGTTTTTGAATCTTTAAATTTAGGTGAGCTTAAGAAGACTTCCGTGAGCATACAATTGGCTGATCGATCAATCAAGTATCCTAAGGGAGTGTTGGAAGACGTTTTGGTCAAGGTGAATGAGCTAATTTTTCCAGCTGACTTTCTAGTGCTCGAGATGGAGGAAGTTCCTATTCCTGGAAAAGACCTTCCATTGATTCTAGGACGTCCATTCATGAGAACAGCAAGGACAAAAATTGATGTGTATGAAGGCACTCTCACAATGGCATTCGATGAGGAAACCGTGGAGTTTAAGGTATTTGATGCTTTAAAATATCCTAACGATGATCATGCTTGTTTTTCCATAGATGTACTTGAACAAATGGTACAAGAAACATTTAGTGCATCACAAGGAGAGACGCCATTGGAGAGGGCACTCATCCAAAGCCCCGAAACAGTGAATAAAGAAGGGAACATAGCTGTACTTGAAGCTGTGAATATACTTGAGGCCTTGCCTCCCCAAAGAGGTAAGTTTAACTCTATTTTGAGCCTATTCCATTATCTACTAATAAGCTTGTTCCCTCTATTGTGAAGGCACCACAAGTTGAGCTAAAACCCCTTCCGGAGAACTTGAAATATGCATATTTAGGTGACAAAAAGACGCTGCCTGTGATCATTGCTTCTAATTTGAGTGCATCCGAAGAAGACAAACTAATTCGAGTTCTAAGGGAGCACAAGACTGCCCTAGGTTGGACCATTGCAGACATCAAGGAATAAGCCCTACAAAGTGCATGCATAGGATCCTTTTGGAAGGAGAATCGAAACCTACAAGGGAAGCCCAAAGGAGGCTGAATCCGGTGATGAAAGAAGTCGTTAAGAAGGAAGTTTTGAAGCTTTGGACGTGGGAATTATATACCCCATTTCGGATAGCAAGTGGGTGAGTCCCGTCCAAGTTGTTCCCAAGAAATCCGGAATTACTGTTGTGAAGAATGAAGACAATGAGTTGGTGCCTCAAAGAATTCAAACGGGTTGGAGAGTATGCATAGATTATAGAAAGCTCAATACCACGACACGTAAGGATCACTTTCCGTTACCATTTATTGATCAAATGCTTGAGCGTCTTGCAGGTCATAGTCATTATTGCTTCTTGGATGGATACTCCGGATACAATCAAATTGCCATAGCTCCGGAAGATCAAGAAAAGACCACCTTCACTTGTCCATTTGGTACGTTTGCTTATAGGCGTATGCCTTTTGGTTTATGTAACGCACCTGCCACTTTTCAACGTTGCATGATGTCAATTTTTTCTGATATGGTGGAGGAGATAATAGAGGTATTTATGGATGATTTTTCAGTTTTTGGTGATTCTTTTGATATTTGTCTTCACAACCTCTCTCTAGTGTTGAAAAGGTGTCAGGAATGCAATTTAGTGCTCAATTGGGAGAAGTGTCACTTCATGGTACAGCAAGGTATTGTATTAGGTCACATTATCTCTTGTAGGGGAATTGAAGTGGACAAGGCAAAAATCGATGTTGTGAGAAACTTGCAGCCCCCCACAACCGTGAAGGAGATTAGGTCATTCCTAGGACATGCAGGGTTCTATAGGCGTTTCATCAAGGACTTTTCAAAAATATCAAGGCCCCTATGTCGATTGCTTGGCAAAGATGTGGAATTCGAGTTTAATGAAGAGTGCTTGGCTGCATTTAACAAGCTTAAGGAGCTTTTAACGTCTGCCCCTATTATACAACCTCCAGATTGGAATTTTCCCTTCGAGTTGATGTGTGACGCCTCGGATTATGCAGTGGGGGCTGTACTTGGACAAAAAGTGCACAACGTACCACATGCCATCTATTATGCCTCCCGGACTTTGAATGATGCTCAGTTGAATTACTCAACTACGGAAAAGGAGTTGCTTGCTGTTATTTTTGCTTTAGAGAAATTTAGATCATATCTTATTGGCACTAAAGTAATTGTATTCTCTGATCATGCAGCGCTTAGGTACCTCTTCCAAAAGAAGGACGCCAAGCCAAGACTGATTAGGTGGACTCTCTTGCTTCAAGAATTCGATTTGGTGATTAGAGACAAGAAAGGGAGTGAAAACGTGGTGGCTGACCATTTGAGTAGGCTGGTGCAAGGATCCAATGAAGAAGAGGACATGCTTCCTCTACGTGAAAGTTTCCCCGATGAGCAACTCTTCACCCTCGAAGCCAAGGACCCTTGGTACGCTGACATTATCAATTACAAGGCTTCAAAACTGATTCCGGAGGATCTCACTCGAGCTCAAAAGGATAAGCTTGTCAAAACGAGTAAGTATTATGTTTGGGATGATCCATACTTATGGAAATATTGTCCAGATCAGATTGTTAGAAGGTGCGTGTCCGAATATGAATTTAATTCTATACTTACCTTTTGTCATTCATCTGCATGTGGTGGACATTTTGGTCCTAAGAAAACAGCCCTTAAAGTATTGCAATGTGGTTTTTATTGGCCGAGCTTGTTCAAAGATGCATATACTTATTGTTCCACATGTGATAGATGTCAAAGAACCGGTAACATCAGCTCTAGGAATCAAATGCCTTTAACGCCTATCCTTATTGTTGAAATATTTGATGTGTGGGGTATTGATTTTATGGGACCATTCCCTTCCTCTTATGGCTTTATTTACATTCTCCTTGCTGTTGACTATGTCTCTAAATGGGTGGAAGCAATTCCTACCCGGACTAATGATTCAAAAGTTGTTTTGAGCTTTGTGAAGGAAAACATCTTTTCTAGGTTTGGAACACCAAGAGCCATTATTAGTGATGGAGGCACTCACTTTTGCAATAGGTCATTTGAGGCACTTTTAAAGCGGTATGGAATTACACATAGGGTCTCGACACCTTATCATCCCCAAACAAGTGGACAAGTAGAGATTAGTAACCGAGAAATCAAGCAAATCTTGGAGAAAACCGTGAGCCCTACGAGAAAGGATTGGAGTTTGAGACTTAATGAAGCATTATGGGCATATAGGACAGCTTACAAAACCCCCATTGGTATGTCTCCTTTTCGTTTGGTTTATGGTAAAGCATGTCACCTTCCGGTTGAGCTTGAACATAGAGCATTTTGGGCAATCAAGAAATTCAATTTCGATATGAAAGAGGCTGGAGATGCAAGGCGACTCCAATTGAATGAATTGGATGAGATGAGGAATGATGCTTATGAGAGTGCACGGATTTACAAGGAAAAGACGAAGGCATTTCATGACAAAGCCATTCAAAGGAAGACCTTTGAAATAGGGCAGAAAGTCTTGCTCTTCAATTCACGCCTTCGGCTATTCCCAGGTAAGTTACGTTCTAGATGGTATGGTCCTTTTGTTGTTACTAATGTTTTCCCTCATGGTGCAGTTGAGATTCAAAATGACAAGATGGGAAACATATTCAAAGTGAACGGACATCGCTTGAAGCCATACTATGAATCTTTTGAGCTTGGAAAAGAGAGCATGCTTGTGGATGCACCACCCCCATCTATTGTTTAATCATCTAAAGAACCGCGTCTGGCTGAAGACTTTAAACTTAGCGCTTCTTGGGAGGCAACCCAACCATTCTTAACTTTTGTTTTAGTTTATGTGTGATTTCTCGTAAATTTTCAAATTTTTGTTTTTGTTATGTTTTGCGTCATCAAACAATGGATTTTGTGTTCCAAAGAAAAATTTTCACATTTTTATAGCCCTAGGGTGTTTGCAGCATGTTCCAAATGTGTTCCAGAAGTTTTTTTGGTCATTGGCTGAGTTTAGATACCAGAAAACAGAAAAATAGCTTTTATGTTCTTATTTTGGTCAAAACTAGAATTTCTGCATAATTTATTTTTTGCTGTTTTTCAGGTCAATCCGATGCCACCAACATGTTTAGAATGATTATTCTAATGATTTGAACCAGGTTTGGGGGCCTCCAGTGGCCTACATTATGTTTTAGGACGATTTGAAGCTCAAAAAAGGTCCTAAAACACTAAAAACAGCAGCTGCTGTTCTGCCCAGAATTTGAAGATTTTTCGTCACAAAAGAGGTTTTAGCGACGGTGTTCATCAGATTTTTCGTCACTAAAGAGTTTTTTGCCGCGGTGTTCATCAGATTTTTCGTTGCTAAATGTCAGATTTCCAGATTTTCATAATTACATATCCAGCTCAATTTCGTTCCAATTTCGTCACATTCCGAGACTTTTAGGAGCTAATACTAGTCCGTTGGCATTCAAAGACACAAGTTGTGGGTGTTTGAGTTCGTTGCCTTGTTGATCTCCTCTCACTTCAACAAATTCTTGCCCCTCCGCACACCTAGAAAACCCGGGAAGTCCTCAAACCCTCTCTCTCTTTAATTGATTATCCATTAATTTATTTCTTTATTTTACACATTGAGGACAATGTTTATTTTAAGTTGTGGGTGATTGAGTATTGTCTTGTTTCTAATTTTGTCTCTCCTTAAAATATAAAAAAAAAAAAATCAGAAAAATGTCATAAAATCAAAAAAATATTTTCTTTTACTTTGAGTCTTGTTTTTATTTGTTTGTAGTAGTCACTTCCCAATTCTATGATGAGATTGAATTTTATTTACAAGTTACTTTCAAGAAGTTATGAGCATGACAATAATTCTTTACATTATCTTTGTGTTAGCCTTATTCTTGTGATTAGACTTGGTAAATCTTTTTGCACATAGCCATATTAATATGATTTTCGATTGGAGTTCACATGATTTAAATTCCCAAATAAGGCTAGTGTAGACTTATACAACCCTTATTATGTGAGCTTTTGAGCCTATCTCTTTCTTTCTTGAGTGTTATATACTATTCTATAATTTTCTCACCTACAAGTCGTTGTGATCTCATTATTCTTTGTTTTGGTCAAATACTTGAGGATGTTTAAATTGTTTGCTAGAACTACTTTCATTATTTATTTGAGGCATATTTCATGAACCACATGGATCCCAGGAAGTGATATAGGCCTTGTTTCATTCGTTTGAGCCTTTCTAGCCAACCCATATCAATTTTATCCCTAGTCAACCCCTTGTGCCTTCTATGTAAGCCTTTATCATTCTTTACCCAATTCTCCTCACCTTAACCTTTTGTATATTTATCCTACACCCTTTTAAGGAGCTTTGTAGAGCACTTTCATGGTTAAGGGAGAATTGCACAAAATGTTCAATCATGTGTATATGATACTGTTTCAAAAAGAAAAAAAGAAGAAGAAAAAAGAAAGTATGATTCCGAAGCCTTTCAACTCGAGTTTTTAAGCCCGAGGAGTGTTTTACACTTAATACCCTAAAGCTATCTAGCTTGGGAGTTATTGGCCTAACACTTGTTACATGGGTTGATTAGAAAGCTAATGGAGTTAGAAAGAAAAAAAAAGTAAAAAAAAATAAAAAAAAATATTTAAGACAGTATCAAGATAAAATTGTGTGCTAAAGTGCAAGATGTTATAATTTCATGGAAAGCTTTACTTAGCCCTTAGACTTCGTTTGTTCATCCATATCTTTTTCTTGTTTCACCCATCACCCTAAGCCCTATTTCAACCTTAGTGAAAGTCCTACTTGATCCAAGGAGAAGTGTGGTTCCTCATGTGGAGAATAGGTGTGGAAGGACTATGGTCGGATGGTTTAAATATTTTCAAGTATGCGATATCTTCCCATGAGATCTTTTATTCATGTCTTGTGCTTTTATTTCAATTATGTGAGTACATCCTATTGCTTTGATTCTTCTCACATACATGAGTGACATTACCTAGTCAAATTTCGAGTGTTTTCATTGGAGTGAACATCCTTGGTGAGAATTGAAGTTAAAGCTTGTTCTTATTTGGTTATTTAACTTTTGTGAAGCTTAAGTCGTGGTTATATTAATGTTGGCTATTTCACACACGACACTCCAAGTTGTTCAATTAAAGTTTGGTTAACCCTTTGATAATGTCTTGAGTTAATGTTGCTTATTTCTTGGAAGTGAGTTAACCGTTGGTGATTATCTCTGAGATCAATATTGGGAATTTAGTTGTTTGTTTGTTTTGAGTCGTTGTTTTTTTGTTTTTATTTTCCGTTTTGTTTTGCTCGAGGACTAGCAAAATCTAAGTTGTGGGTATTTTGATAAGTCCATAAATATACTCATTTATGTACTCTTTTTACTTAGGTTTTGTAGGAGAATTAGATTTAAAAAGGGCTTATTACTTTACTTTTCTGATTTTCAGCTTTTCTGCGCTCTTAGAAGGTTTTTAAGGAAAAATCAACTTTTCGGAGGAATTTTAGAGCAAGGCCAATTGGAGATGAAAGCTAACATCTTGAAGTTCAATCTGTGATTTTTCTAGAATTTTCTACCAAGCCAATTGGTACAGTATTACAAGTAAAGTTAGCCCACGTGCAGACAAGACAGTTTCGTACATGTTACGTGAATGTGAAGAACGGAAGCCTTCCCGAATTTTCCAAGTTACGTGCTATATATGGTTGGAAAGATAAGACATTTATCTTTCTAAAATATATTTTTAATGATTTTTCTGCAAGGCCGAAGATCCCCAAATCGTGTGACAATTGGGCTGAGCTGTATTTCCCTGTGGAGTTAGGAATTGTGATTTTTACTTTCCTATTTGGATTCCTTGTTTACCAAGACTTCTTGGACGACTTGTCAGTCAATTTTAGGGTTTTATAACTTTGATATAAGTGATATAAAAGGCCAGCCAAGGCCCCGATACAGGGGATTCACGTCCAAAAGGGATCAACCGCGTAAGAGGAGAAAGCTGCCAACGAGTTCTTTCTTTTCCTTTCTCCTTTTAAGTTTCAGTTCTTATGTATTTATTTTTGAGTTCATCCAAGAGCATGAGTAACTAATTTCTTGTTAGTTAGGGCTTAATCTTGAAGCCCTAAACATGATTTCAATTCTATAAACAAGTTTGAATGGATTTTCAGTTTCTACAAGTGTGATGATTTCGGTTTCTCTATGTTTTGTGAATTCTGATATTTTGTTTCTTTGAGTAGCTAACTTTGAAGCATGTATTGGAATTAAATTGTTGTAGAACATAGGTCAATTGCCATATTGAATGTGTTCTTGTTGCAACGAATAATTGGGTTAAGAACTAGTTATGAGAAATCGATTCTTGAATTCCTAATAACAAATGCCATGTTTTAGGGTTTTTGTGACACTCATATTCTCTTTGATCTTAATGGATTCTTGATTGTTAATTTGAGTAAATGCCATACTAGATTTCAATTAAGAATACACGTATTGATGTAAATGCCATACACTTTACATGCACTTAAGAGAGAATCATACAACTCGAGTCAAATGCCATGATCTTGTTGTGAGTGTCGTCATCATATGATTGCTAGAAATTGATTATCTATTGTTGTTTATGAATTGATTGATTGGTTAGAGGTGGATAGTGAGTCCTAGCTATTGTTCTTGATTGATTATAAACCAATTTCTCTTAAACTCTAATTTAAATTCTGTTTTGTTTTGTTTTCCTTATTTTGTTTTATTCACAAAATCAAATAAAAACCCCCCTTGGTGTTGGCGTGTGTGTGGAAGTCCTTGTGTTTTCGTTGCGTGACATTGATAAACATCTCTCTAGATTACAATCTCTGTGGGAATGACCCTTGCTTGCTTACTATACTATCATTTGATTTGTGCACTTGCAAGGTTTAAATATTGTTGTTAAAAATTACAAACAAATAGAATTGCAGAAAATGTGAGCAGAATTGGAAGAAAAATTACCATGACTTCAGGAGCAGAGGCATCCACTTTTGCTCCAGCTTCTGGAACCACCATAGCCTGGTCCACAGGTTCTAATACAGATTGTCTTGCTTGTTCCTCAGCCGCTAGAACAACACTAGAGTGTTCTGCCTCTGGATCCTCAAATAGGGCCAGCTCTGAGCTAGTCAGTCTTGCCCTTGCATCTTCTTGTTGTTTCTGAGCAAGCGCAATACTCTCTGCTATCACCTCAGCAGGAATTTCCTCCTACAAATGGACAGAAATCAGGATAGAAGGAATAAAAGACAGTAGAAACTGATACAACCAGAAAAACAAGACTCACCTCTTCTTCCATTATCTTGGCCTTCTCCTGAGGCCCCTCTCCTACTTGTTCCAACTCTTCCAGCTCTTTCTCCTGCTCCACAGCCTCAAAAGCCTCTCTCAACTCTTCATCCGTGTCTGAAGTGGCGTTGGGAGCTGCTGCAATTTCTTCTGTGGCCACATATTCCACCACCGTCCTCTTTCTAAGCCTTTTTGACTTAGAAGGAGGGGGAGAAGGACCTTCAGTTGAATAAGAAGAAAATAGGCCATTAGAACATAAGCTAGGACAGAACAGAACTTAGAAAATTGTCAAAATTCACTTGAAGTCGCAGGTTGAGCAGTTTCCTTTCTTTTCCTTCTGACAGAAGGAGTGGCCTCAACGGGAGTCTGTTCTGCTTGATCTTCTTCTTCTTCTTCCTTTCTAGAAGGAAACTCCAGGTCCCCAGCACTTATGACAGAATTAACTGCACAAGAAATGACAATTTCAGAAATCAATCCAGCAGGAAAAGGTAGAACGAACAGAAGGATAGAAAATTTACCAAACACTTCTCCAGCCTGGGCAGACTGACCACCAACATTTTGTGTCAAAGAAGGATCTGTTGTATCACCATTACAAAAAGAATAGACAGAACAGAACAGACAAAATTGAGACACTACCTTCGAGAACTTGGGCATTGATGTCCTTTATGGTCTGCACCATAAACTTGTGAGTCTCCTCTCCTGTACGAATAGCCCAGCCATCCCAGCCATCAAAAAGCACTGCCAGTGCAGTATTGGAAGCAGGCAGATTTCGAAATCAAGCCTTCCACCAGGCGTCAAAATCTACAAAACTGCAGGAATTGGGTTCCCAGGACGAATATAGGGTGTCTGCACTGTTGTTTATCTTGTTCACTGCACACATGGCATCCTTATGCACCTCCAGGTCATCCAGGTCCCTCCAAGAAGAAGCTCGATTGCAGCTCCTACAGGATTTGAGTGGAATAAGCTGTGGGCAGCCAAGCTGCCTTGCACAAAAGTTGGGGTGATACACTTCTGCCCCCAGATGAAATTGGGAGGCTTCCCACCTCCATGGGGCGGGTCTCTTGGAAGGGTCACACTAAGGAACTTCTTCCTGAAATCAATTCTGGCTGCTTCTTCTTCCGGCTCTTTCTCAAACAAACGGTATCCAGGCTGGAACCAAGGATAGGTTCTCCTGAAGAACACCAAGTATTCTTTAATAGAACGCTTGGGCACTTCTGCCGACATCAATGGTTGAGCCAGAACTTGATCCTCATGCAGAACTATGTCTGGGAACCTCAATTCAGGGAAATAGACCTACAACCAGATCTGGATCATCCAGAAGGCATCGGGAGCAAACAGATTCAGCGGATTCTCCAAGTAGCAGTATGCAGGTTCTTGAATAAATGAGCCAGAACTGAAGGCCCGAGTCCGACATCAGTGTGGTTGTGCAAAGCTTCTGCTAGGTGTCTGTACTCAAGCAGAACTGCAGAAGAGCGGTTGGGCAGAATGAACCTGTTCAACCAATACAGAAGGAACAGCATATGCTGCTGACCTTGTCCTTCTCAGCATTTAATTTCCTCAGGTAATTGGAGAATGAGCAGTTCTGGTTGATGAGGGCTGGAGAGATGGTGAATGGCTTGGCTAGCTTTTGCTGATTTTTCTTCCTGTGATAATCACCAACAGCACCAACAGGTCTCCCATGGGGCCTAAACCTGAATATCTGAGCTATGTCCAGCAAAGTTGGAGTCATGGGGCCTATGCGAAAGTCGAAAGTGTTACTGGCAGAATTCCAGAAACACAGAGCTGCAGCAAGCAGGTTCTCATCTCTGTTGACAGATTGCTTGGACAGAAGTATAGCATCATAAATACCAGCCCGCTTCCAGTAAGGTCCATATCTTGGAAGAAGCCTATCAATCCAGTCTACCCATTTCACTGAACTGTTTCTCACTTCGCTGGACGGGAAGGACCGGCTCAGATTCTTGCTAACCCAGGAATGAGAAGCCAGAGCAGAAGTGCTCTCAAAACATAAAGGAGCCTCAGCATCCTTCTTCATCCGTTCTGCCATCTCGGGAGGAACATGACCAAACCAGTGAGGCCCCAGCACCAAGGTATTCTCGAACAGATGAAGGACATTCTCATCTAGGTTCTTCTGGGCAAAAGGATGAAGCTTGCTCCTAACCTCTATCGCATGTTTGTCAATCCCAGTCCCAGGAATGTAATCGGGAGGAACTGAAACAAAGGAAGACTGGGCACGGAATTTTGGGGAAGACATTTCTCAGGATTGTTCTTGTTTTAGAAAAAGGAAAGTTGATAGGAAAGGCAAGGCAGGTTCTAGCAAAGAGAGAGATTTCTCTCGTTACAAATTTGGTTTAGCAAAACCAAGACAGGTGGAGCTTGAGCTTTTCCCAGACATGAAAACCTCAACAAATTTTACGGCGCAGTCTCTAGCCCACTGAAATCCTCAAGAACAGCTACTTCTGCCTAAAGAAGCCGCAGTTCTGCCCACTCAGAAGCCTCACAAAAGCTTGAAGTGTATTAAAGCTCTGCCAAAATTAACCTTTGGTATCGATCTATTGCCGAAGCTTAGCAGCAGAAGTTGTCAACAGTCCAGCCCAGCCCAGATATTTCTAGACCAGCCCTGATCAGAACCCTCTATACAAGCAAAAATGGAGTTCCAACTGTCCTTTCTTCTTTCTAGCTTGGATATTTATGTTTATAGTTTTGTGAAAGGCAGTTCTGCCAAAGACAGCTTAAATTCCATCGACCATTCTGCCTAGAACAACCTCTTTATACTGAGACAAATTGTTAAAGTCCTCACCAGTCTGAGGCAAGAAAAGAACTTACCTGTTTACGGAAATCAGCAACTTGGGGCGCAAGTTATTTATTCTAGAATAAGTCTGCTAGAATCTTCATTGCTAGCAGTGGCACACTCATACACCAAAGAAAGCTGACTTGCTCACCAGCAAATGGATAAAACTATGCAATACACCAACCACTCCATTTCAGAACGAACTTCGTACGAACCTGAATTGTCCAATTTCACGGACCAATCGATATCGGATTGAGTCCAAAACTTGGGGAACATCATAATATGGTGGGAGGAGTCATTTGGTGTGTTTTGAGTGAAATCCAATGGATAAAACTATGCAATACACCAACCACTCCATTTCAAAACGAACTTCGTACGAACCTGAATCGTCCAATTTCACGGACCAATCGATATCGGATTGAGTCCAAAACTTGGGGAACATCATAATATGGTGGGAGGAGTCATTTGGTGTGTTTTGAGTGAAATCCAATGGATAAAACTATCCAATACACCAACCACTCCATTTCAGAACGAACTTCGTACGAACCTGAATCGTCCAATTTCGGACCAATCGATATCGGATTGAGTCCAAAACTTGGGGAACATCATAATATGGTGGGAGGAGTCATTTGGTGTGTTTTGAGTGAAATCCAATGGATAAAACTATGCAATACACCAACCACTCCATTTCAGAACGAACTTCGTACGAACCTGAATCGTCCAATTTCACGGACCAATCGATATCGGATTGAGTCCAAAACTTGGGGAACATCATAATAAGGTGGGAGGAGTCATTTGGTGTGTTTTGAGTGAAATCCAATGGATAAAACTATGCAATACACCAACCACCCCATTTCAGAAGCGAACTTCGTACGAACCTGAATCGTCCAATTTCGGGACCAATCGATATCGGATTGAGTCCAAAACTTGGGGAACATCATAATATGGTGGGAGGAGTAATTGGTGTGTTTTGAGTGAAATCCAAGGGATAAAACTATGCAATACACCAACCACTCCATTTCAGAACGAACTTCGTACGAACCTGAATCGTCCAATTTCAAGGACCAATCGATATCGGATTGAGTCCAAAACTTGGGGAACATCATAATATGGTGGGAGGAGTCATTTGGTGTGTTTTGAGTGAAATCCAATGGATAAAACTATGCAATACACCAACCACTCCATTTCAGAGCAAACTTCGTACGAACCTGAATCGTCCAATTTCAAGGACCAATCGATATCGGATTGAGTCCAAAACTTGGGGAACATCATAATATGGTGGGAGGAGTCTTTTGGTGTGTTTTGAGTGAAATCCAATGGATAAAACTATGCAATACACCAACCACTCCATTTCAGAACAAACTTCGTACGAACCTGAATCGTCCAATTTCACGGACCAATCGATATCGGATTGAGTCCAAAACTTGGGGAACATCATAATATGGTGGGAGGAGTCATTTGGTGTGTTTTGAGTGAAATCCAATGGATAAAACTATGCAATACACCAACCACTCCATTCCAGAACGAACTTCGTACGAACCTGAATTGTCCAATTTCGTGGGCCAATCGATATCGGATTGAGTCCAAAACTTGGGGAACAACATAATATGGTGGGAGGAGTCATTTGGTGTGTTTTGAGTGAAATCCAATGGATAAAACTACGCAATACACCAACCACTCCATTTCAGAACGAACTTCGTACGAACCTGAATTGTCCAATTTCACGGACCAATCGATATCGGATTGAGTCCAAAACTTGGGGAACATCATAATATGGTGGGAGGAGTCATTTGTTGTGTTTTGAGTGAAATCCAATGGATAAAACTATGCAATACACCAACCACTCCATTTCAGAACGAACTTTGTACGAACCTGAATTGTCCAATTTCACGGACCAATCGATATCGGATTGAGTCCAAAACTTGGGGAACACCATAATATGGTGGGAGGAGTCATTTGGTGTGTTTTGAGTGAAATCCAATGGATAAAACTATGCAATACACCAACCACTCCATTTCAGAACGAACTTCGTACGAACCTGAATTGTCCAATTTCACGGACCAATCGATATCGGATTGAGTCCAAAACTTGGGGAACATCATAATATGGTGGGAGGAGTCATTTGGTGTGTTTTGAGTGAAATCCAGTGGATAAAACTATGCAATACACCAACCACTCCATTTCAGAACGAACTTCGTACGAACCTGAATTCGTCCAATTTCATGGACCAATCGATATCGGATTGGGTCCAAAACTTGGGGAACATCATAATATGGTGGGAGGAGTCATTTGGTGTGTTTTGAGTGAAATCCAATGGATAAAACTATGCAATACACCAACCACTCCATTTCAGAACGAACTTCGTACGAACCTGAATTGTCCAATTTCAAGGACCAATCGATATCGGATTGAGTCCAAAACTTGGGGAACATCATAATATGGTGGGAGGAGTCATTTGGTGTGTTTTGAGTGAAATCCAATGGATAAAACTATGCAATACACCAACCACTCCATTTCAGAACGAACTTCGTACAAACCTGAATTGTCCAATTTCACGGACCAATCGATATCGGATTGAGTCCAAAACTTGGGGAACATCATAATATGGTGGGAGGAGTCTTTTGGTGTGTTTTGAGTGAAATCCAATGGATAAAACTATCAATACACCAACCACTCCATTTAGAACAAACTTCGTACGAACCTGAATTGTCCAATTTCATGGACCAATCGATATCGGATAGAGTCCAAAACTTGGGGAACATCATAATATGGTGGGAGGAGTCATTTGGTGAGTTTTGAGTGAAATCCAATGGATAAAACTATGCAATACACCAACCACTCCATTCCAGAACGAACTTCGTACGAACCTGAATTGTCCAATTTCGTGGGACCAATCGATATCGGATTGAGTCCAAAACTTGGGGAACATCATAAATATGGTGGGAGGAGTCATTTGGTGTGTTTTGAGAGGAAAAAAAAAAAAAAAAAAAAAAAAAAAAAAAAAAAAAAAAAAAAAAAAAAAAAAAAAAAAAAAAAAAAAAAAAAAAAAAAAAAAAAAAAAAAAAAAAAAAAAAAAAAAAAAAAAAAAAAAAAAAAAAAAAAAAAAAAAAAAAAAAAAAAAAAAAAAAAAAAAAAAAAAAAAAAAAAAAAAAAAAAAAAAAAAAAAAAAAAAAAAAAAAAAAAAAAAAAAAAAAAAAAAAAAAAAAAAAAAAAAAAAAAAAAAAAAAAAAAAAAAAAAAAAAAAAAAAAAAAAAAAAAAAAAAAAAAAAAAAAAAAAAAAAAAAAAAAAAAAAAAAAAAAAAAAAAAAAAAAAAAAAAAAAAAAAAAAAAAAAAAAAAAAAAAAAAAAAAAAAAAAAAAAATGTCAATAACATGTCAATAATGATATGAATAAGGTAATGGTGTTGAATTGGAGGAGGCCCTCAAAACCTTCCACATTTGAAGCAGTGCAGAGTGCAGATTATCTCTCTGGAGCTAGAATATATATAATTTTTGAAATAAATATTATTTCCGTTGTTACTAAATTTGCCTGTTAAAAATGAGAACAGATAATAATAAACTCATGAATAAAAGTGCAAAGCATTTGAAAAAAGGTTGATCTATGACGATTATGGCTGACTGAAGAAAAAGCTAGAAAGAAAGAAGGATGTGGCAATGGCTTAGCGAGCAGATAGCAGAGCAGATGCTTTGCTTTGCTTCCTTCCACCATCTTTCTCATTTATTTATTTATTTATTTTGTGTTGTGTATGAAATGACAATAATTGTCATGTGTGTGAAGTGCAGAACTTGCCTAGATTGCACTCACACTCACTCATGCATCAACCATTGATTGGAGTTTGGATCCATAAATAAAACACATGCTAGTGCTTGTAATTCACAGAATCATTGCATTAACAGGTATTTGCACAAAATATGTCATATTGCTTTGATGATGTTAAAGCCTGTGATCAGTAATCCCTATGCGCATGTACTTTGTAAAATTTGTAATGTGCTGGTTGACTAGTTGTGTAAATACCAATGTGATTGTGCAAATACGTGGTAGTATATGTGTTCACGTTATTTCATCTTGTATTTCAGGAAATGGGATCCAACGTTGAGCTGGTATGGCCAGAGTCAGAGGCATATTCCTCACGGGTGAACAACTGCTCACATGCAAATTCATCCCTAGCTGTAATTCGAGCGAAGTTGAGTGCCGAACAATTAGAACAATTCAAGACATCATGCTTTGGCCATCTTCTGAATATAGATAAGATTCAGTTTAGCGGGCAGATTGTGCATGGGGTTGTGTTGCGTAGAGTAGCGGGGCAGGGTGTGAAAGACTTGGATGGACTGAGTTTCTTAATAGGGTGCGACGTTGCTCAGTTCACTCGTCAGGATTTCTGTTTGATCTCAGGGCTTCGTTTTGGGGAAGTGCCTGAAGTTTCCAGTGGAGAAAGTGATGAAATTAGACTTCAGAAAAGATAT